TCAGGCTCAGTACCCAAGTCTAGACCACGGATATGTCTTAAATTTTTGCATCTCATGATGTATAGTGTAAAAGCTAACAGTATGTGAAATTTTGAACTTTTTGTCTAATTTCTTCAACATTTCCCTCAGCTGGATAAACAATGAACTTCTTACAGCAGGAACCCTGCTCCAGTTGATTTTGCTAATGTTCCAGTTGCCCAACTCACCACTTGAAGAATCAGTCTAAATAGATAAAGGAAAACCAGAAATTCCTACACAATTAGAACAAGAAAATAAGGGAAAACCAGAGCAACTCGATCTTGAGGCATGAAAGATCACTACACTAAAGTATTTACATTTGCTGAAAGGATTAGGCAATTTATTTCTAGGATACAACCAGATGAGAGAAAGTGGATAGCAAATGTCATATATATATATGTGTGTGTGTGTGTGTGTGTGAAAGTTGCTATTTCAATCAAATGTTTTCTTTTTCCTATTTGAAAGGGCAAATTGAAGAGAGTTATATATATATATATATGTGTGCGCGCGCGCGTGTGAAAGTTGCTGTTCTAGATTGAATCCTACTTGGATTATATTATATATCTAAAAATTATATCTAATTTTAAAATAATTTTCAAGAGCAACTAATATTATTTTAATGATATAGGTTTTCTATCAAATTATTACATAGAAATGCGGTAAAATCTTTTTCAATTCATAATTATTGAAATCTTACATATCCCATAAATTACTTTCTTTCACCACCATATTTTTTATTAGTATTTCAAACTTTTCATCATCTATTCCCTTATTGTTGTTATCTTATAAAACACAAAATTTTAAATTTCATCTCCATCAACTAAAATTTCTCATTGTTCCCTTTAAATATACTCAACAACAGGCCCTTTTCAGTTGAAATTTGACCCTAGTGAGAAGATATCAGCTTTCCTTCTTTGTATTATACGTTAACTCTAGAATTTGTACATGTACATATCATTGATGATTTGGTATTTCGTAATTATTACAAATTTGATTAAATAGCTATCATGGTGTACTTTAGAATTTATTTGTCATGACTCCACATATCTTGTGAAATTTTGAGATTGTTACATTGTCTTAACGCATCTAAATTTTTCCTTATTTTAGCACAAATGTTGGGGAACATAAAAAGAGGAAGTTTGAAGGAGGTTGAATTAGATCAAAAGTTTTCTATTGCATTTGATGACTTTGTTTGTTTTAATATTTTTTGGTGTTATGCTGGCAAATTTTCATTTGGTCGAGTGGTCATTTCCTAGATGGACCTTTTACAATTTAAGTTCATGTTCACGTAAGGAAACTAAAATTTGTATTCTTATAAATTTGTCTCATATTATTCTATGATGTAAAAAGTTGATCTTTGATTTTTTTTTCTTATATTCCTCTAATTTGCAGGAGCAGGAGTAGTTTATTGGAATCGTGAACTGTAGAGGACATAAAATTCCAAGATCATGAAGAGAGGTAGAGGTGGTTTATCGGAATCATGAATTGCAGAGGACATAAAATTCTAAAATCACGAAGTTCATCTTTGGCAGAGGAAATACAATTCCAACGATTCAAAGGACATGATCTTGCCATCTGCCAAATCTTCAACTAAACATCGATTCAAGAAGGGCCTCATCAAATATCATTTGCACCTTCATTTAGCGTTTTTTGGATCATAAGAACGATGTTGTTTGTTTTTATGCTCGTTCTCTCTTTTATTAACATCATTGTTATCCATATGAATTAACTTAATGTAAAAAAGAAAATTAATTGTCGTACCGATAGATTTACTATTATTGTTGGAAACTGAATATTTGTTGACGAAGAAAATGGATTGTGGGATCTTTTCCAATTAATTAAATATGAATATTTAGTTATAGGTTTACGGTCATTATAAAAATTTTAATTATCTAAAAGAATGTTCATAAAAAAAAGGAATATCTACCAAGTTTTTAATATGGGGTATATTATTTGATATATATTATCATATTATAGTGAAAGTCTGTAAGAAATTTTTAAAAATTAGTAAATAATTGAACATTTAAAATACATTAATTCTCTAGAGTTAATATGACTGAGCATATAGGATCGTTGTTAATTTTTATATTTAAATTATTCATATTTATATAAATTTACAATAAATTAAAAAAAAACTGTGCTAAGACACGGACAAATTTCTAGTTCTATAGTAAAAGACACAACAACTCAAAGGTCACAAGTTGATCAGCCACTTTCTCTTATTATTTTAACATTAAGAGTCCACTGGGCTTGCTAATCTTCACAGAATTTGCGGACAGATTCATTACTACCTAGAAACGGAGTCGTTTCACAGATTGTGACCAGAGAGTCGCAAACTCTCGAAACTCAATCCATCGCTAGAATCCGGCTCACCAAGCCACGATCCGTCGCTAGATCTGGATTTACGAACGGATCCACTCAGAATCTTTTGTCTAGCTTCATCTAGAAATTTCGAGTTTCTTTACCCTAACAGGTCACATTTTTATTTCATTTCACAAACTGTTCCAACAGATAAAACGTATTGCATAAAACAAGTGACATAATACTGTCATTAAATTTTATAATGAGAGTATTCTCTCCGTATTACTCAATTTATACTTTCTCGGAAGAATGCACTAGGAAAGCAAAATTCAGTAAAATGGCTTTTCTACTTGAATAATTTTTCAATAATCTGAGAACGATGTCTCTGCTCGTTATGCTTGCTTTAAAATTGAGATTTTGGGTGTTCAAGTAATGACTAAATAAACTAAAAATAGGATGATACAAAACGTTGAGCTATCTATTGGCATCAAATTTCGGGAAATGTCAATGGCATTTTTCTTGTATATATTAATGGCAATGTCTTGATCTTTTGTTCATGCAAATTAAGCAAAACTACCTCTACCATCCTTGCACTCATAACCATCTCCTTATTTTCAAGATGTAATCAAACATGGGAATACCAAGAAGAAATCATTTAATGTTACGAAACAACTAAAGATGTGAATGTCCATTTTGTATTCTCAAGAAAGTTGATTCATAATCATTCACTAGATTCATTGGTACATTGAATGAAGGAGATGCATCGGATGAATCCATCAATTCATTTATGGAACTATTTAATTGATGTATTTGAAGTACTAAATTCATATATGAGTGTTTAATAAGGTTCATATACTTTTGATCTTATATTACCTATATATAGACGTGTCCTGACCTCTTTTTGTAACAGATGAACACCTTTCATTAGTTGAAATAATAACAAGAATAGTTTTCTATTCTCTCTCTCTACTTCTTATTCTATCATTTCAATCTCTATTTTAGTAGTTTATTTTATTAGTTTCACAACATTTTTAAGTATTTGAGGTTGATAACTCATCTATTGCCCTTGCTTCTTGCCATTAATCAAATTGTATTCTCTTGAGGTGATAATTGTGTCTATTGGTAGGCATTAGTTTAGCTTTACTTTAAGGAGGCGATGCTTACAAATTGACCTTTTGTAGGGTACATTATTGATCCTCTTATAAAATTTTTAAAAAAAAAAGAGAAAAAAAGTAGTGAAGCAACTTTGGCTCCAAATAGACATCATCTATACACAAAGCACAAGCCTCATACTGAAAAATGGATTGTCACTTAATGTGTTACTATTAATTTTACATTACCACATTAGTGGCAGAGCCGAGATGTTTCTCCATTAAAGGCATAAAACAAAATGAATTTTTTCTATTTTTTACCAATAAAACAAGACAATAACATCCACATACCAAGCAATAGCAAGTACATATTTATGTACTTATTAAATAACATGAGATGATATAGAACTTTCACTAATATATTACACGTCCTCAAAGTTCGAATCATTGCCTCCTCAACCAAAAAAAAAAAATCGAAACATTACATAGTGGGAAACTCGATGGTGGACTAAACTCCTAATAAGTGCACACACAGTTTATGTACAAAGAGTTATCCACATATGTATATATGTAGTCATGGTAAAAGGATATTTTATACTTGTTTCTTTAAAAAGAGTTGCTACCAAAATCACTTATGGGTACATTCATATTCTTTAAAAAGAGTTGCTACCAATTTGAACCATACTCCAGGAATTAAAATAATTTCTTCTTTTTTAATTTTTCTTTCAATTTATCTAATTTTTAATATTCATTTTTAAGATTTAAAATAATTTTTGATTCAAAACTATTTATGGAAGCAAAGATATGATTTTTATAAAATAATAAGTAAAAATTTTTTTCTATTTTTTTGGATTGCTTCAGGGTTAATAAAATAAAAATATGTTCTTTTTTTAATGCAACATGGCCTCAATAAGGGTATTTTCGGCATTAAGGGGGTTTTTGTTAAATGTTTGATCATTCAAAGGATGAGACCGTTATTTGGACAAATTATAGGGATTGATTGGTAATATGGTCAAACCTTAGGGAAGGTAAATGTAATTAACCCTTATTAAAACCTTATTGAACCGTAATAAGAAAAAAAGGCTTCATAAAATAGCAAAAAACAAAAACAAGAACGTTGAACAAGTCGTTTCTAGGAAATAATCGCACACAATAAATAGTTTGAATTACAATAAAGACTAGGATTGCCTAAAGGATATGCTTTCCCTGATTCAATTTTACTTCTCTTACAAAATTAACATCTGCTACCCCTCTTCAATGATACCCTTTGGAAACTATTACATGAACCAAAAGAATGAAGAATACTAAATACTAAATAACAAAAACAAAAAAAAAAATCAAACACACCCCAGTTGGCAACCATGATAGTTAAAGACCAAAACTATCTTTTTTACCTCAATTATTTCTTGATCTACCTATTCCTCGAGTTATTTTTTAATCTGTCTAAGTTATCTTGTAAACCAAAGAATTTATGGGACGTGATATGTCAATAATACAACCCAAGGAAACCAGAAGTCTTACATATCCATTCAATCAAGTCAACACAATCATTGGAGCCATTCTTCCCCTGAATAACTCCATCCCACAAAAAGCCAAATGTTCTATAGCTTAGAGCAGAATGATTTCCCCTTTTTTAACAAAACATCGATTGGTTCTTCGTAAGCCATGACGCTTGCAATCTCAGCAGTCTTATTCTTTTGTTTGGACCCTTTTTGTACTATCCCTTTTCAGTTCTTATAAATAAGGGACCTCCTATATTTACACGGCATAGGAGTAGTTACTTTAGATGCCCACTTCATCAGTCACTGTCTGTTTTTTGTATTTGTGGCTATAGTTCTAAATGTCTACTACTTGTGACCACTGGCCAGTTGTACTTGTAGTAGTGCTTTAGTCTTCAACATTTCATGCAAACACTTTTACGTGCAAAGAAACAAAGGGTAGCATTCTGGTCTAACTTTCAGTTTCTTGAAGTACTTGTAACTGCTGAACCAACCTTTGTCTATGAAGTGGCATTGATTGATGTTCATTTTGTTCTATATAGGGGAAATGGATTCATGGGGAATGGGGCTATATAACAATTGAACTCGTTTTAAGATGAGTAACAAAAGCCTGGCATTTCTTTCTAACCTGCTAAATTTGGATTCTCTTAAAGAAGTAGTGACATAGGGACTTCTTAGGCTGGTGATTAGTAAGAAAAGGAAAGGTTTCTTGAATAATTAGTTGTCTCATTTGGTTTATTGTGGTTATAACAAGCACTGAGTTTAATTGGCTTTCAATTGAAGCTAACTTAGTCTTGTTTGTGTTACAAGAATGCATTGATTAGGGAATCAAGCAGTTTCAGAAAACAGACAAGTTTGTAGTGAAATCCCAGTAATTTCTGCGGGAAATAGAGGCAGTGTGATCCAATCAGAGAATCCAAAAATGGGTTTCAAGCCATGGATTTGGTATTGCAGGCCAGTGGAGAATGGAGTTTGGGCAAATCAAACAGAGAGTGCTTTTGGATCATACACGCCCTGTGCCTTAGATTCTGTAGTGGGGTGTGTGTCCCATTTGGTTCTTCTGGGATTGTGTTTATATAGAATATGGTTGACTAAGATGGATTACAGGATCCAGAGATATCGATTGAGGTCAAATTTGTACAATTATTTTTTGGCATTGCTTGCTGGGTTTTGCGCTGCTGAGCCCATGTTCAGACTGATTATGGGCATTTCACTTTTCAATCTGGATGAACAGAGTGGTCTGGCTCCATTTGAGGTGTGCATTTCCACATTCGAGGTTTTGAACTTCCTCTATTTTAACTGTTTGATACTCGTCCTTCTACTCTGTCCAGCTATTTGTGACAAATATGTGATATTACGGGAATTGTTTCAAGTATTTGATTAATCGTTAAAGTCATATACCTATTTCAGTTTTCAAGTTAGCAGGATTACCTTGTAAACAAGGATATGATTTTGAGATCAGTACTTTTGTTGTTGTTAAGCCACTCCAGAGTTTATTACTCGACTAGAAAATCAGTTTGATATGCTGCCCAATGGACATGGTTCTTTACATGCAACTATCATTTTCACTTCTGTTTGATGCTCAGGAGGTTGAAGTTCCTTACAAAACAAAGACATGTAACTCTCTCTCAGAACTATGAGTAAAGAAACTTTTGTTTCTTTGTTTCGTGTCGACTTTGGCTAACTATCGATATACTGATATGGAAAAGAACTTGAAATCTCTTGCAGAAGAAATTATAAGTTTTGGGCTCGAGAAGATATCTAGTGTGTACGTTTGGTGGTGAAGAAGTGCTGATTTGAAGCCTTAATTAGTGGACCATATTTTCCTAAACTTACAGTGCTTCACTAGGTCTTTACAACTTTTAAGCACTTGTTTTCTGTGCAGATGCTATCATTGGGAATTGAGGCACTTGCTTGGTTCTCATTAGTGTTTATGCTGGGCTTGGAGACAAAAATTTACATTAGAGAGTTCCGGTGGTATGTCCGATTTGGACTAGTTTATGTTTTGGTAGCAGATGCTGTAATGTTCAATTTGATATTTTCACTGAGGGATTTTTATACAAGGTAAGTTGTTTATTGTCCACGATATTCCTATTCTTTATCTAAATTCTATATTTAGTGCAATCACAAGGTCTGGTCCAGTTTTCTATGCTAAATTCATACTAGCAGTTTGGATAAATTGAAGAATTAGGTTTCTGGTCTCCACATTATTAGAATTTGTATTTAAGTGCTAGAAGCTCTTCGACTTTAAAGATGAACGTTTATAGTTCATGCCATAAAAACAAGAAGTGCTGCAGGAAGTATATATAAAGTAAAAACGTCAGTAGGAAAGTTACTGGGTTTCACACTTGGATCATCAGGGCGGGTGCCGGAAATCTATCTTATCAACATATGTAATCTCCAATGCTGTATGTTACAGATAGATAGAATGACTCCCTCTATGAGAAGAACCAGAGATGTGTCTTAATATTGAGAAGTTTTTAGAGCATACATAGAGATAATGAAAATGGAGAACAAGACACTGTTCAAAGGACTAGAACTGTTGTAGGTCAGTGGCAGATATTTCAAAATGGTGAATGTAACTTCACTAAAGAGTTGCAAATAGGTAGCAAAAGATGATAAAGTATACAGGTCAGTGGAACACATAAATTTGATTGCTAGGTAATGCCTAAAATCTTTAACAAAATAATTGGATGAATCTTTCTGACATAATTTTACCATTTTTGTAAGCCATAAGATGTCTCTACTGGATGATGTTTGGCAGCAGATTTTTACCAGTTCTGTAATTTTGCAGGTCGATACTGTATCTATATTGCTCTACACTTGTGTTCCAGGTACATTAGTTTTCTTTTCTGATTTGGCAAATGAGAGTTCATTGTTTTGGCCACCAATACACAACTATAATCTGCAATTAAACACATTTATCCATTAAGATTTGGGGCAATGTAGGAAGTCTATAGTGCAACCATGCTCCATTTTAAAAAATTCTGGAAGGCATCTAATGTAGACTTGCTTTCTGTATGGAGTTACCAACTGTGTTTGCTTGGTTACTTTTAAAATTTTATTGAAAGATAATTAAGTGATAAAGGCTGCAAAACTTCTTCCATTATTGCTGTTATTCTTGGTTTCTGGACACATGTTTCACATGCACATAGATGTAGATCAGCATTGCTAGATCTACAAGTCATCTCTCTTGTGGTGGTCAACTAATTCCTGTATAACTTTTGAGGTTCAACACATGAAGCTTTCAATTGCCAAATGCTTAATGTAAACTATCAAATCCAAAGCCAGCTCATTTACACCAAGCAGTACGGGAGAACTTAATAGTACAACCAACAAATGCCAAGCTAGATGTCTGTGTCTAATATTAGAGCATGACTGTCAAGAAATATTGAGATTTGAACTTTCTGCCACAGAGTTCATCCAAAGTATAATGTGCTGCCTTAAATATTCTGCTGTAGGTTTTGTTAGGAGGGCTGCTTCTTGTTTATGTCCCTCATCTGGAATCCTACCCTGGCTACATCCCATTATCTGGTGAATCTGCTGATGAAAATAAACATGAAACTTTTCTTGGAGGAGATATTTGTCCAGAGAGACATGCCAAATGGTTAGACAGTAAGTAGCTTTATGTTAAAGTCCTTCATGTCAGGTATTTAAATTCCTAAGAATGTGAAAAACAGGGGAGGATCTTAGTTAGTATGGACATGAATCTGTAATAGCTTCGCATCAGTGCTCTTTATGCTTCCTTAATGAACTCTGATCATGGCTCTAATCAGATTTTACATCCTCTACATGGTTAAATTATTGATTCTGCTTAATTGACAATCAACCCATTTCTACTTTCCAGACCAAAACATCAATTTAAGTGGTATACAAGATATAGCAACGCAGGCAGTTTAATATAAGAGATCCATAAATGTGATAAATAGATTACTCTCATCTCTAGTGGCTGATGGTGGCCAAAGATTAAGTTCATGTCTTGATAGTGTCTGTTATACTTTTATGTTTACCCACAACACTAATTATAATTGAGTACTATCTTGTGATAGGAATATATTTTGGATGGATGACCCCCCTCATGCAGCAAGGTTACAAAAGACCAATAACTGATAAGGATGTTTGGAAGCTGGATTCCTGGGATCAGACTGAGACACTGATTAAAAAGTTAGTTTGCAGTTTTCTCCTGCCACTAGTATTAAACAGTTGCAGAACTAAATTTCATTTCTGTTATGACTTAGGTTCCACAAATGTTGGGCTGAAGAATCTCAAAGACCAAAACCATTGCTTCTACGTGCATTGAATTGTAGCCTTGGAGGCAGGTAGCTATTTGGTTGTTACGTTTATGAAAGACTTGTTTTATCCGGCTACAATAGCAAAGGATCCTATTCTTTTTTCTTTTCTTTTTGGGAGGGTGGGTTGGGGCTTGGGGGAGGAAGGGGACAAAGTACTTGTCTTGGTTTATGTTGTTGATATATCTTTAGCTGTATCTTCAAGAGATGGTGTTCTACCTTTTCACCCCCCTATGTAATTGTTTTTGTTTTTGCAGGTTTTGGTATGGTGGCTTCTTCAGGGTTAGACCATTAATTTTTCTTATAAATGTTACTCATTCTGTAGTTCATAAATGTATTTAGTTTTTGATACCATAATACAAGATAGAGCCATCTAGGCAGGTGCTTGCATGACTAGATTTTATGCTTTTTGGGAACTAATTATGCTTCACTTCTTTCAAGAAAAATTTTATACTGGACATTTTCTTAGATTTTGTTGCAAGAGGAGAGAATTTAAATCAAAGGTTCAGAAATGACACATCATTTGATGGTTTGTCTTGACTAACTTTTAGTTTTCAGTCAGTAACAAATTATAAGAGCCATGTACTGTCTCATCTTAAATAATGACATAAGCTACTTTGTAAAGTCATTTTGGCCATAAGTTCATGTTAGCTGAGAACTTGTTTTTTATTCCATCAATTCAATTGTCATTATCATTTAATATTTGTTCATATATACTGAAAAAAAAGTATATGTGGACTAGTATTTATCAGGCCTAATGTAGAATAAAGACTCAATTCAAGTTGATTAGTGCGAGGAGCATCACCAGAGTATTTGTTCTTTGTATATTCATTTTAGATATTTCAAATTTTACACTGCATCTAGGGCGAGAGAAATTGAAGTTGAAAGTATCTTATTCATGTGAATTTTTAAGTTAAAGAATCTTTCTGTCAAAGCAGCAGAATTATTGGAGTCCAGCTTCAGAATGAGCATCTCTTTGCAATCCAATATGTCTTTTTTCAGATTATTTTCTCTTAAGTTCATTTGAATGAGCTAGTATTACTTCCAACTGTAGTTAATATCATCCAAACGAGATAGTACTGCCTCCAACTCTAGTTCCTTTTGAAGTTAACAGGAGATCATATTTGCTCATGAAAGCATAATTCTGCATGTACACATACAGTGAAACATATAGAGCTATTGTTTCTGAATAATTTGACAGTTTCTTAAACTCAATTTTGACGGTCTTGCAGATTGGAAATGATATTTCCCAGTTCATAGGGCCCATGATACTAAATCATCTCTTAACGGTAATTTTGTTTTTTCTTTATATCCATAACCATGTTGAATGATGCAGACTGTTTCTTTTTCTTTTTATTACTGTATGTGAAGCGAAAAATGTTGTGATGCATGATACTTACATCCTACAAATCTGTGTTCTAATAAGTGAATATTTTCCTGATCTAAGCTGAAATGAAATTGGCATTGGGATAATATTAACACTCAAGTCAATTTTCAGATATGACAAATATTCATGTTCAAGAAATACTTGTACATCCTATCAAGAAAAGTGACTTGGTTATGGATTCTGCCTCTATGCTGTGCAAAAGTTATCTTTCTTTGTCATTTTGACTATTGTTGACCACTGATTGTCTAATGACTGCATAATGTGAAAATTCAGTTGATATCATATTATGTTAGTCTTTCTAAACCCATGAGGTTAATAATAAAGTTCTGGCTTCACAAATTTTTTTTTAACTTAATCCTAGCGTACACAATGTAACCCAATATCTTCATCCACCTTTTAATCTTTTGAACAACTTTACCTTGAATGCTTTCTGTTTTGGACCATAATTTTTTTTTAAATTTAAAACATGGGCTCTAAATGTAGTCAAAAGCTTCAACAAAATACAATTGTAGAAATTAGGTTTTGGAAAATAGTAAGAAAATAACATAAAAGAAATGGTCAAATTAAGAAATGAAAGTCCAACTCACTTAGATGTTGAAGCTCTGGAGTTCTCAAGCTTAGTGCTATAGGTGAGCCAGTACAAGCTTTAAGCCGTATGAATGTGACAGGAAGTGATTTTTCTTGGGGATCTGGAGAATTGTCTTAATATTGTCTAATGCTTCTTTTTTTTTTCAGTTTGACTGCAAAATAATTTACTGTTTCATGAGTACGTTTTCCATTTGCAGTAGTCAGTTCTCTTCATTAATTTGATACATTTTGCAGTCATTGGAACGAGGAGATCCTGCTTGGGTTGGTTATGCCTATGCCTTTTCAATTTTTGTCGGAGTGGTACGATTCATACTTAGTATACTAAATGTTTCTTCTTTAAGTAGAGGACTGAATTAGATTTTACCTGCTTTTGATGAAGACTACTACTTAGAAAGAAGAGAGTACACTTGTGCAGTATAGTGGCTGTACTAGTTTTTTTATGCAAGGCAGCAAACATCTCTAACTATCTTTTGAAAAATAGTGGGTTTGACATTCATTCTAAATTTTAAGGGAGTTATCTGTGGAATGGACATGTCTACAATGCTAATATCTCCTATTCATTTTCTTCTGTTATTATGATTTGGGTATCTGTTTATCTTTACAACATATTTTGTGCTTACTTTATTTATCTTAATGCAGTCTATCATAATTTAAGTTTTTGGCTGTGTGTTTATGCTAGGGATTAAGTAACTGTAATTTGAAGATGCAAAATAGAATCAAAATCTCAATACATGTAGAGAGACTAAAATTGGGTAGTCTTGTCGAATTCAAGACCAGTAACCTTTCACCTCATTGCATGACTGCAATCAATTTGTTCTACTCGGATTAAATAAGTGTAATGTGAACATGCAAATCATAATCAAATCTCAATACATGGAGAGACTATAATTGGATATTCTTGTAGAATTCAAGTAAGCCATGTAACCTTTCATGTAGGTGTTGTGACTACAATTGGTTGTTTTCTAGTGGGGGCTTAAGTGCAGTTTAATTATATGAATTAGAGTCAAATCTCAATACATGGAGGCACTACAATTGGGCAGTCTTGTCAAATTCAAGTAAGCCAATTAACCTTTTTTGTAGGTGGTGTGACTACAATAAATATTGTCTCACTGGGATTAAGTAAGTGTAATTTGAAGATGCAAATTAGGATCATATCTGAATACATGGGGAGACTAGAGTTGGATAGTCTTATCTAATTCATGTAAGCCAAGTAATCTGTCATGTAGATATTGTGAATACATTCAATTGTTTTAATTCAAGCTTATAAATTTATTAACTATACATGGCATGTATGTGTTTGGATATATTGACGTTCATTCTGACCTCTTTCTCTTTCTTTCTCCTTTTCTAAGTAAAAGTGTGCATATGTTTGTGCAAATGTCCTCTCTTTCTTTCTTCATGTTGGAGGTAAATGCCTTAATCAATTGATAAAAGTTTTGTACTACCATTGGTTGTTTTGTTCATCATCTTTGAGATACAGAAACTTGCACCCGGTGATGAGACACAGTTATTGTATTTAGTCAATTTGACTCTATCTGCTCGTCCTTTTAGTTATTAATTATGCTAAAAGTATATTTTTCATATATTTCATTGATCTATTTATACAAGTAACTAGGTTAAATGGTCAGCCATGTACAGCTGTATATAGTCTGTAATTACAGACCTATCTTAGACTAATTGCTGTATTCTTAGACTAATTACAGCAGCTATCTTAGACTAATTACATATCTGTATTCTTAGACTAATTACAGCTAATTCCTACCAACTCTCCCCCTCAAGTTGGGGCATAGATATCACAAATGCCCAACTTGGATAGAGATGCATTGAATAAGCTACTAGTAACAGCATGAGTCATAATATCAGCCAACTGATCTGAACTTCTAGTATAGGGAATTTCAATTGTCCCGGAATCAAGATTATCTTTGATGTAGTTCCTATCAATTTCAACATGCTTTGTCCGATCATGTTGAACAGGATTATTTGCAATCTTAATGGCTGCCATATTATCACAAAATAATACCATAGAACCTTTTGGACCAAACCCAATCTCCTTTAAGAGAATTTTCAGCCAAGAGAGTTCTGTGATAGCGATGCATAGCTCGATATTCAGCCGCTGCACTAGATAATGAAACCACGTTCTGTTTTTTACTTTTCCAAGACACCAAGTTGCCTCCAACAAAAGCCAAATATCCAGAAGTTGATTTTCTATCCAACTTGCTACCAGCAAAATCAGAGTCTGTATTTCCAACCACATCAAAATGTTCGTGTTTGGAGAATAAGACACCTTTTCCTGGAGCTGATTTCAAGTAAGCCAAGATTCGATTAACAGCATTCATGTGTTGATCACTTGGATTGTGCATAAACTGGCTAACAACACTGACTGCATATGCTAAATCTGGCCTGGTATGAGTTAAATAGATTAGTCTACCCACGATCCTTTGATATCTTTCCATGTTTGTTGGAATTTGATCAGAAAAGAAGGCTAGGCCATGATTCACTTCAATCGGAGTATCTATCGGCTCACAAGCAGACATACCAGTTTCAGCTAGGAGTTCCAATGTATACTTCCTTTGGGAAAGGAAGAGTCCTTGCTTGGACCGTGATACTTCAATGCCAAGAAAATATTTAAGAGTCCCAAAATCTTTAATCTCAAATTCTTTGGCCAAGTAGCTTCGAAGGTTCTCAATTTCTTCTTTGTTATTACCTGTTACAATCATATCATCAACATAGACAAGAAGCACGGTAATATCATTGTAGTTACGTTTATAGAACAGCGTGTGATCTGCTGAAGCTTGCTTGAATCCATACTCCTCCATGGCATGACTCAATCTTCCAAACCATGCCCTTGGTGATTGTTTTAATCCATACAATGCCTTTTTCAGTCTGCACACCTTTCCTTCTTCTAGTGTAAACCCCTGAGGAGGATCCATGAAAACTTCCTCAGTCAACTCACCATGAAGAAAGGCATTCTTCACATCAAATTGTCGTAGAGGCTAGTCTAAATTAACTGCAAGTGACAATATGACACGAACAGTGTTCATCTTGGCAACCGGTGCAAATGTCTCTTGATAGTCAATACCATAGGTTTGAGTGTAGCCTTTTGCAACCAGTCTAACTTTGTATCTTTCAACTGTCCCATCAGACTTGTATTTGACATTGAATACCCATTTACACCCTACGGTCTTCTTTCCCATTGGTAACTCAACCATTTCCCAAGTAGAATTCTTTTGGACAGCCATCATTTCTTCTACCATTGCATCTTTCCACTTAGGATCATCAAGGGTTTCCTGAAAATGACTAGGAACATATACAGAAGACAACTGAAGAGCAAATGTCAAGTTAGCCTTAGACAAACAGTGATAGGATATAAAATCAGAAATTGGATAAGAAACATTGGAAGCTTTTGAAAAACCAAGTCTATCAGGTTCTTTTCGTTCACGAAGAGGATATCTTCTATTCTGATCAATATTAGGATATGAGTCAAGACTTTCAGAAGAAGTACATACCTTAGTGTCAATCTTGGAAGATTCATTCGATAGCATGGTAGTATCATCAAGGGAGGTACAAGAATCAGGAGGCATAACAGTGGTATCTTTTGTTCTCCTAGAATATCCTTTCTCAAAGAGATGAGCTGGTCTCTCACTATTAGTTTCAATTTTATTTTCCTGACCATCATCTAAAACTAAGGATTCCCCATTTTCCTTTGCATTCTCTATACTTGAGATCCATATCCTTTTTTCTCCTAGCCATTGTTCTTCCTCTTCTCTACTTTTAATCTCCCCCTGAAGAGGAACCGCAGACATATGCCCAGAAAAATAAGACTCATTTTCACAAAATTGAACATCCATAGACATATAGTAGGTTCTTGTAGGAGGTTGAAAACATTTATATCCCTTTTGTCAATTAGAATAGCCATGGAAAACACATTTGATAGCACGAGGATCAAGTTTATCTCTATGATGAGAATGAACATGAATATAACATACACAACCAAAAACCTTTGGACAAATATTAAGAGCAGCAGGAATAGAATGAAATTTAGATAACATTCTCAAAAGGGTTTGGAAATCAATAACCTTAGCAAGCATTCGATTAATGAGGAAAACAGCAGCCATAATAGCTTGTCCAAAAATGTTTTGGAACATGCATAGTAAAACATAAGGCTCGTGCTACTTCAAGAAAGTGACGATTTTTCCATTCTGCTGTGCCATTCTGCTGGGGTGTGTAAACACAAGTGGTTTGATGAAGAATGCCATGTTGCATCGTAAAATCAGCAAGAGATCGATTCACAAATTCACGACCATTATCAGAATGAAAAACCTTAATTCTAGTGTTGAATTGAGTAAGAATCATGTTATAAAACTGAGGAATAATATGACAAATATCACTCCTAGATTTCATCAAATATACCCAACTGACTCTAGTACAGTCATCAATAAAAGATACAAAATTTTTATGTCCTGAAGTAGAAGTAGTTGAGAAAGGACCCCACACATCAGTATAAACACATGAAAAAGGAGTGACACTTTTATTAAAACTAACTTTGAAAGGAACACGATGGTTTTTTGCATAAACACATTGTTCACATCTTAAGCTAAGAACATAAACACATTGTTCATATTGTTCACACGAGGCCTTTTGGTGAGGTAGCCTGCGGGTGCCTGTTGTGTTGTCCAGCACCGCCAAGAACAAAATTCATGGCCCCACGGGGTGTCAAACTGTGGGATAATATCGCCGAGGGGCTGTTAGAGTTGGTATCAGAGTCGACTCCCGACCGCAGTGTGCCAGCGATGACGCTGGGTCCCCTAAGGGGGGTGGATTGTAACAATCCCACATCGGTTAGGGAGAGAGCCTGGGCTGCTTTGATAAGCCAGTTGTGGTATCACCCACCTCGACGAGGCCTTTTGGCAAGGTAACCTGTGGATGCCTGTTGTGTTGTCCAGCACCGCCAAAAACAAAACCCACGGCCCCACGGGGTGTCAAACTGTGGGACAATATCGCCAAGAGGCTGTTAGAGTTGAAATATTGGAAAATAACTTAGGAAACATATGCTCTAAATAAGAAAAAGATGGATGTCCTAGTCGACGATGCCAAAGGATTATTCTTTCCATGTCTGATGTCCCACTTTTTGTTTGAAAACCTCGACTAGATATTGTTATCCCTCAATTGTCTTCCCAGTAATATAAACCATCCCTCTCCTTACCAATGCCAATCGTCATCTTCGTAAGATTGTCCTAAAAAACACAATGAGTAGAGTGAAAAATGACAGAACAGTTAAGATGCTTTGTTATTTTACTAATGGAGTGGAGATTATTTGAGAGTTTAGGTGCAAGTAAAACAGAGGACATAGAAAATTTTGGGGAAAGAGACACATTTCCAGCGCCTATGATTGGCGTAAAATTTCCATTAGCAACCTGTACAGACTTCACAGGTGGAGATGTAAGAGAGTCAATGATAGAAGAGTTACTAGTCATGTGATCAGTAGCCCCTGAATCAATAATCCAAGTGCTAGGATGAGCAGAAATAACGGACAAACCAAAAATACCTTCTTGAGAAGATCCCCGAGACACATGAGAATGCAAAGGAAAATGGGGAATCCTTAGTTTTAGATGATGGTCAGGAAAATAAAATTGAAACTAATAGTGAGAGACCAGCTCATCTCTTTGAGAAAGGATATTCTAGGAGAACAAAAGATATCACTGCTATGCCTCCTGATTCTTGTACCTCCCTTAATGATAATACCTCCATTGATAATACTACCATGCTATCGAATGAATCTTCCAAGATTGACACTAAGGTATGTACTTCTTCTGAAAGTTCATAAACTTCAGAGGAATCTGATACATCAAGGTAACTTCTTTTTACAGCATCCCAAACTTCCTTTGCTGTGCCGCATTGTACAAAGTGAGATACCAGATTATCACTCATTGAATTAATAAGCCGAGATTTGACAAGAGAATCTTCAGCTTCCCATTCATCATAACTTGAATTATCTACTGCTGGTGCAGCCTTCTTTCCATTAATATAGCCCATTTTTTTTCTTCCAGCAATATGCATCTCCAAAATCTTGGACCAAACTCGATAATTAGTGCCATCCAATTTTATATGGATGGAAGAAGAAGCATCTTGTATGGTTAGAGTGGAGAGATTCTTGCTGTTAGGAGATTCAACATCAGGTTTGGTTGACATATTGTGATGTGATTAGTGTTTTAGAGAAGAAATTTTAGCAGTGTGGGCTATTGAAAGAATGGCTGGAATTTTCAGAGAAGAGGAGAGCAAGAAAAAACCCCAATGCTCTGATACCAAGTTATTAATTATGCTAAAAGTATATTTTTTCATATATTTCATTGATCTATTTATACAAGTAACTAGGTTAAATGGTCAGCCATGTACAGCTGTATATAGTCTGTAATTACAGACTATATACAGTTGTATTCTTAGACTAATTACAGCAGCTATCTTAGACTAATTACATAGCTGTATTCTTAGACTAATTACAGCTAATTCCTACCAACTCTTTTAATAACATAATTTCAATTTAAATTTCTTTCAACAATCATTCTGTATTTGCATTTTCCTTTTCTTCAAGATACAGTATGAATCCATGCTGCTCATTTTATATTTTTAGGTCCATAATAAACTAACTCTTTTCTATTTCTTCAGTCATTTGGAGTTCTTTGTGAAGCTCAGTACTATCAGAACGTCATGCGTGTTGGTTTCAGGCTAAGATCAACTTTGGTAATTGTGCTTCCTTCTCTAAATTGCGAGCACCAAATATTGCCTCTTCTGTATATTGATTTGTTCATTGTTCTTGTGATTACATGTTTTGTGCTTTGGATGTTGTGAAAATACATTTGTATGTGGATCTATCCAATCACAGGCTGAATGACTAAAAATGGCAGGAATGGTTGGACTCCAAAACTAGCTGCAACCCAGCCACAGGTTTCAAGAAAAGGAAAGACTGCATGAATTAGCAAGCCAGAATCACTAGCCTACTAGATAAAATGTATATCATAGTGTAATTGGCCTTCTAAGATACACAATCATGACTTTGTGATATGTCCAGTGGATATTTAGGAAATTGTTGAAATGGATTATAAGGCTTAAAATGTGCAATAGTTATAGCAAGTTGGGCATAATATTGGGTGGCCAATAATGTGCTGGGCTGATAAGCCACCTAGGTCATTAACAATTGATGTCAAAAGGCATGAGCATATTGTGAGAATGTCAGAGGGATTTCATGGAGAGATGGTGACTGGAATCTTTCATATTACCTGATTGGGATGAATTTGGATACTAAGAGGACTGGGCTGGCTACTTCTGATAAGATGTCAAGCTAGTGTGAGACTCCAGTAAGTTATCAGGCCGGTATTCCAGAGAAATTGATCCTTTAACAAGTAATGACTTTGAAGCTTGATTAGTGCAGCTCAGTAGAAACACTTCTGAGTCTTTATTTCATCGGCGCCGAGTTCCACTTCTATTCTAATTTAGTTTTCATCTACCAATGTTTAACAAGTACTTCATTTATTAATTGCCCCACTGTACATCTGCAAAAAAATTCTTTTAAACTTCAACACATTAATAGGAAAATACACAAACTAGTCCAACCCTGATGTTCATTGAATCTTTAGCTTTTCTGGGGTGTTTAGGTATTATATGGCTGTTATTTCTATTGACGTTGACATGGAAGTATTGAGAATATAGGATCATATTCCCAAATCCTTTATCCAATTTTCCCAAATGGTTTTTATGGCAAATAAATTGTCTGAAAGCATAGTGTCTTACAATTGGAACAGTTTTTTCTTTCCGCTGCAAAAGAAATTAGAAGACTTCAATTCTCTTCCTCTTCATGTCTAGGTTAATGACATGAATGTCAAGCTGAAAGAAATAATCTTGTGATTTGTGTAAGTTAATCAAGAAACAAGTTTCATTATTGTATGCAAATTCCTTAACATCCTTGTCAAACAAAGTATCAGTTTTTGTTCCATCCTCGACCATAGGTTCAAATTCTTCCCTTTTAGCTTAGCAGTTCATGTTAGTCTTTTCATGTTGTTCTTTCTTCTCTTGGTCTTTGATGCAAGGGCAGTTCCATCCCCATCTTATTTTTCTGTTTTTACGTAGTGATAGAAAGAGAATCTACGATTCTGCCTGGTATCAAAGAAGGCCACAAGCTCAGTTCACATATGATATCAGTTTCCACTGCCATTATCTTAGTTATTAGTTCTTTCAACTATTATTATTTAGTCACGTTTTCTGATGCTGAAGCAGTTTTCATCTGAGTTGGAATATATACTGTTGGCATTTGTAGGTAGCTGCTATTTTTCGGAAAACTTTGAGGCTAACACATGAGAGTCGCAAGAGCTTCCCATCCGGAAGAATAACAAATATGATAACAACTGATGCTAATGGACTTCAGGTACTGACCTGTGGATTTTTTGTTTTAATTATAACCGTATTTAAAGAACAAGAAGCTTGGTGCCAGAATCTGGTCTTCTTTTAGTTGGTTTTTTTTGTTCATTCTTTATGTTAGAGCTGTTATACTAAGTACTGCACCCAAACAACTGAGTTAAATTCCAGTAGGTTTTTGAACATTTGATCAACCTCTGTATCCGCTGAACAATAAATTAAGGAGAAATTTTTTCCATGAGATTGATCCGTATTTCCTAAACTATCATTATCTTCTACCTAGAATACACATCAACCTTTTCATATTACCTTCCATTGGCTTCAGAAATTTCTGGAATGGTCCTCCAGAGTAGCAGTAATATCTCATTCAATAGTGTTCGATACTCTATTTGGCTAATGATTGCAGCTATGGGCTAAAACATCAAAGTCTATATTAAGCTGGACTATGGAATGATTTTTTTTTTAAAAAGAATATATCTCAGTTGAATCTAACACCATTTCTGGTTGATTAGCACCCAAAAGAGCAGCGAGAGTTTTTCATATTTTCTTAGTGGCCGGAATAATTATTAAAACCAGTATACATAAGAAGAAAATGCTTTAGAATTACACCATTGGATATGCAAAGTTGTAAAACATCAAATCTTTGTTGATGTTAGAGTTGTATGATTGGGCTTAATGGGTGAAACCATTATCACTGGCTTAGAAACATATACCTTTCTATTGTGAATCTTGTAGCAAGGAAATCTAATCAGAATATCAGTCTCAAAACATCACTGGAACCAACATTATTGATTTGGTGAAGATGGGTTAAGCTAATCTTGAATGAGATGAATTACCAATAATTAAGGATTTTTATGGAATCATGCCTTTCAGCAAAGTCTCAAATTTCCATCATGTTTATACTTGTGTTTGTCTACATTCTGTGCAAGAATTCTCATATTTGTTATATCTGTGATGTTACCAACTGATTTCTGATTGATTTTTAGCAAATATGCCAACAACTTCATGGCTTATGGTCAGCTCCATTTCGAATTACGATAGCCATGGTTCTTCTATACCAGCAATTAGGGGTGGCATCACTTCTTGGTTCTCTTATGTTGGTTCTAATGTTTCCCATTCAGGTAAAAAGATTTTTGAGCCACAATTTACTTCTTGCAATAACTTTTGTGCATCAATGTATCTCTTGGGATCAGTAGAATATGGAGTACATTCCAAACCAAGTGTTTCAGTGGGTTAATTTGCAACTGCTCCTTTTTGAATTTAGAATAAGATTTCTAGTATGCACTATGTAAATGGAATTTAGGTTGCATTGTCCTGCAACTGGTTTACTGCTTTCATTTTGATTAGTGCATGCTTTCTGAACTTTTAGTAAGCAACGCATAATCAAGAACTATAACCCAAGCTATTATAATGTTTAGGAATATAAATCTAATCCAATATGATCTCTTCAAAGTTGTACTATACATGTTAACAAACAGAGTCTGTAATTTATACACTTGAAGTAAACATTCAGGAGCCTGGAAGGATATTACATGCTTGGGCAAGAGTGTGTGTAAATTTGGTTTGGTTAAAAGAAGATAATACTCGAAGTTTTCTTGTCTTGAGAAAATATCAGGAAAAATTCGAATTGCAAAATACAGAAAACATGTATTTTTTTTTAAGAATATTGAGTTTTTTACATCCGAGCACAGTCATTACCACCCATTATGTCAATATATTTGGTTAGCTTTACATACGTCTACCCTGAAGGTGTTCAACATTTTGGGCTGGTGAGCTCTCTTCACTTTTATTTTTCCTCTTTTTATACTCATGCACATGTTGCCATCCTGCACCATGTTTGGCATGTTGGCTTTTATTCGTGTACTGTGCATTATCCCTTGTTTCCTGTAGGATATAATCATTCTACCTTGTAAAAAGCTTGATGTTCTAATCTGGTTTTTGATACAGACTTTTATTATAATCAAGATGCGAAAACTATCCAAAGAAGGACTTCAGCGTACTGACAAAAGAGTTGGTCTAACCAATGAAATTTTAATGGCCATGGATGCGATTAAGTAAGTTGCAAAATGGATAAGGTTGTTTATAATTTTAATTAGTTCTGTTAAACAATTTTGACCATGTTGTGGTTATTTATATCAGATGTTATGCATGGGAGAAGAGTTTTCAGTCTAAGATCCTGAGCATGAGGAATGATGAACTGTCATGGTTCAAGAAAGCACAGTTTCTAGCAGCGGTAATTCATAATCTATACTCTATATAAAAGTGTGTTAAATGATTTACATTTGGGTATTTCTTACTTTTTTGAACTACATATATTACCCTTAACTTAAACACTGGTTTAAAGGCAACGTATTGATACACTAATCTATTAGTATGATCGGATATATAAAAGATTAGCTGAATCAGGAAATCTCAGTTAGCCTATTGAAGCATTTTGACACTGAAAAACTTTGGTCTGTTTCTGACTACTAGAATATTGTTCAGTTGTTAGTTTATAAGTTGCTCTTACATATGTAGCTTATGTTTTCTGATGATTGTAATTGCATCTAAGTAATTAGACCTAAAATTGTCTGATCACGGTTTCTAAATACTGACTGGGTAAGCTAAGTTTGGCTGAATAGTGCTTTTCTTTGAATTTGGACCCTTTTGATGTGTGAACTAGATCATCTTACATGCTCCAGATATTTAGTAGGAGTGGGATCTATTAGGCAGTTATTTGATTTCTTAAAGCATCATGTTTTACAAATTTTTGAGTGCTTAATTGTTGTCCACACCCTCATTATCTCTATGTTCCGTTATTTGCAGTGTAACACTTTCATACTAAACAGCATCCCGGTTCTTGTAACTGTGGTTTCGTTTGGAATGTTTACTTTTCTTGGTGGAGATTTGACACCTGCCCGGGCATTTACCTCTCTTTCTCTGTTTTCGGTTCTGCGTTTTCCCTTGAACATGCTTCCCAACTTGATAACTCAGGTATCTCTTCATTGGCATGTTGCTAACTCATCTGTTCACATTTTATTAGCACCTTGTGCTGCAATTCATTACTTTGGCTAAAATGGTATAAGCATAGATTTGCGGAGTTGGAGTTTCTTTTCTTTTTGTGTTCATAACGTATTGGAGTTACACATATCAAATTTTCATTTACAGACAGGCATGCAGGCAAGTCAATATTGGCCTAACGTTTTAGTTCTTTGAAATTCAAGCATCCATATTATTATGAAAAAGTGTGCTTGGAGCAGTAAATTATTATGTGGAAAACATTGAGACTTGAGCATGACCAGTTATGTACAGAGAATAATCATGGAGATTCAAGTTAATGCTAAATGCTTGAATACCATCCGCGATGGTTTCTAGTCGCATGAATTTTGAAGAAAGGTGCAACCAGAAACACCCAGCAAAGAACTTATGACATCATGAAGTTGAGTTTCCAGAAGGATGAGAGCTGATACTAGTTGTCAGGAATTTACTGATGGAGATATCCCAATCTGAATTACCAGACTTTGTCTTACAGTTTTACTAGGAAAATACATGCCATAGACATCCTAAAACAGAATGCTTCCAGGAAAAGACAAATGAAACTTAAAGTAGCTAAATTTTCAAATCTCAAGGATATGGCTATTTTTCGGAAGGTATTCCAGCCATGAGAATCAAATCATTAGAAAGCACTGAAGCTTTTGTCCATGACTGGTTTACAATCTTAGTCACCCACATGAAAAACAAGTAGCTTGTGCTTGAGTGCTTGAAAGGAAATTCACAAGGTTTGTGTTCCACATATAAATATAACCAAGTGTACTGAAATTACTGTATGCTTAAACATGGGCATATTATTCTTTGCACATTGCATAGGCAAAGAGGCGAATTATGTTCAAGATATGAAAAAAATAAAAATAATGGCTGGTCATTTTGGATAATAAACTTTCTCCTTATTAAATCTTGAATTAAGTAGACTGATATCTGAGGTTTCCTTGGTAAAAGTAAAACATGGTTTTACATTACATGTTTCCTGGAGGCCATAAAATACCTGACAATCTGTTTCAATTTTGAATCTGCTTTTCCCCTCTTATGTTTTTCTGTGCATTATGATGCTTCCAGACGCCATTTTGACATTTTTCCAAGGGATATTTCCCCTTTTCTTGCTATTTGCTCGCTTCTTTTCTCTTTGTTATAGTTTTCTGTAGCTACTTTTGCAGACTGCCATTTTGAGCCAACTTATTATAATCTGTTGAATAATCAAAGCTCCTTAAATAATATAAGAACATTATTTATTGCATCATCTATTCAAATTTAATTTTCTTACCCTACTTTGGAAGGTGGTAAATGTAAATGTATCACTACAACGGCTGGAGGAATTGTTCCTAGCTGAAGAAAGAATCCTTTCATCAAATCCACCTGGTGAACCAGGGCTTCCTGCCATTTCAATCAAGGATGGATACTTTTCATGGGATTCTAAGGTCGTGCTTTCCTCCTTATATCTCTGTGCACTGTCCATATCTCTAATGTGTTTGATTTTTAAACTGTTAATACACATGGAGAAATCAGATTTTTATGAAACTTTTATAGTGTTCATAATTGAAATTCTTATTTGATCCTTTACTCTTGATTTAACAATCAGAGGATCAATAATGCAGCGTAAAAGAATTTGAATGCATGAAACAACCTTCTTTGTGTTTGTGGAGTTTCTATAGCATACATCAATTAACTTGCATCACAAATCTTTCACTCTGAAGAAAAATCTCTGGTTAAAATTTAATTGACGAGCAAATCTTTATAGTTGGTAGTCTCAAAAGCTTAGTGACTATTACTTATGTGTTGCTCTTAGTCTTTCTTCTAGTGCATTATCAATTATTTTGAATGCCAAATACTCTTCCTAAGTTACTGCATTTAGTTTTTAGAGGACAAGGGAAGCGAATGAGCTGCTCTGCAAATGTCATGTTTATATCATGCAAATTCAGAAGTTACTGATTTTTCAATTTTACTTTAGGCAAACGAATGTGCTGGCAATGTACTTTAAAAATCCAACTAAAATACTGTCTGCTTGAACTTTTATTTGAGATAGAATATTATAAATTTAGACTTTGAATATGTTATTGAACTAAAAAAAATTGCTTCTATTAAATTTCATGTTTCATTACTCCCTGTACAGGCTGAAAGGCCCACCTTGTCAAATATAAATCTGGATATACCAGTGGGCAGCCTTGTAGCAGTTGTTGGCAGCACTGGAGAAGGAAAGACATCTCTAATATCAGCAATGCTTGGGGAACTTCCTGCTTCAGGAGATACAAATGTTGTCATTAGAGGAACTGTTGCTTATGTTCCTCAAATTTCTTGGATATTCAATGCCACAGTAAGACTCAGGATGCCCATATTAGACTTATTTATCAATTTCTACCAAAAATATTAAGTAAAACAACTATTAAGAAGCTTAACATTCTACTAGTTTGTTGTAGAGATTCAAATTATTCATCTTCAAATCATTTTGCAGGTGCGAGAAAACATACTGTTTGGGTCTAGCTTTCAACCTTCCCAATATTGGAAAGCTATAGATGTTACAGCATTGCAGCATGATCTTGATTCACTTCCAGTTAAGCCTCCCAGTTCATGTAGCTGACTTAGTTTCATCATTGACCTTGCATTTAGAGCATGATAATTAATTGCCTTCTCAGGGTCATGACCTTACAGAGATAGGTGAAAGAGGAGTTAATATCAGTGGAGGACAAAAGCAGAGAGTCTCTATGGCAAGGGCTGTGTACTCTAACTCTGATGTATACATATTTGATGACCCCTTGAGTGCTCTAGATGCACATGTTGGACGACAGGTGATTCTTATTTTCTGCAAGTATATTCTGCTAGAAGAGAAAATAGAAAAAAGGCGAAATGGTGTGACTGCTTCAGTATAAGAAATGTCTACAGTCATTCTTGTTCTCCATTCTTATCCAACTACATTTAGCTAGAAACTTATATTGTATTTAATGCCTATACTTTACTCCTTGAACCTGACTTATCCAATAGCAAGGTTCTTTAGCTGCAATTTCTTGCTTAAAATCTGGGTCTTATGAGGATTGGAAACTCTTTTATTTAATCAGTTTCCTTTCACATCAATTGAGTTCTCCATAAATTAGATCATTATTGCATTACTAGTTGATCCATAAACTATATATATCTATGCAGAACAGACAACTTCCTAAATTTTGGTTCAAATGTTCACAGAATCTGAAATTATGCACGCATTATATCTATGGCATTTTGCAGCTCAAGTAAATTTGGACGTGACAACATGATAGTTATCTTTTGGATTTACAACCATCAGTATACTACCCTGTTATCTTCCATCAAAAACTTGTGTTTGCAGCAAGACATTTTCCTGATCTGATCGACTAGATTGCCTATTTCCAGGTTTTCAACAAATGTATTAAGGAGCAATTGCAAGGAAAAACAAGGGTGCTTGTGACAAACCAGCTACATTTTCTTCCACAGGTGGATAGAATTATTTTGATATCTGAAGGTACAGTGAAAGAGCAGGGCACCTTTGAGGAGCTTTCCAGAGATGGGACGCTTTTCCAAAAGCTAATGGAGAATGCAGGAAAAATGGAAGAACACATTGAAGAAAATGGAGATGTGACAATTACTAGCTGTGAATCTTCACAATCTTTTGGCATACTGCATGAGCAGCAAAAGGACACAGACTCAATGAGTAAAAGGAAAGAAGGTAAATCCGTTCTAATCAAGCAAGAAGAGCGAGAGACAGGTATTGTCAGCTGGAAAGTCATAACAAGGTACCTTACAACTCTTAGGTTAAAGTCCATGGTTTCCAGTATCTCAAATTGCACTTTCTCGTTTCTTTCAACACTTTATCATCTCAAACTAATTCATTAATGACATTGGATTTCTTTGAAAATTTTAATTAAAATAGCTCCAAAGAAAATGTAAAATGTCTATGAATGTGCAGTGCTCACATTTTGAGAGGTCAAGCAACTGCCTAGTTTAAGCCAAGTTATATATACAATATACATCTGCCCTCATATAATATGCTAATTTTCTTAGAAAAGATTAGAAAGTACATCCTATATTGAAACAAAAGTAACGACCTCAACAACAATGAGAAAAGAACGGAAAGCAACTAAACATGGTGGGCATAACTTCAACACCAAAGATGCATAATGTCCTTATCCTGTAAGCAACACCCGCAAATCTATGGGAATTATATTTTCTTACATTAGCTCTGGCAAGAAAGAAGTTGAGTGAGAAAGGAAGATTAAGCACACATTCCTGTGCAATTTCAGTGAGTTCTCTACCAGTCTTCTAGGTCAAGACTAAAAGGGTAGTTTCTGTTGTTTTTGCATGAACGTTTTATGTGTTTGATATACTCGTACTACTAAAAGACATGTATGTACATGCTATACACGGTTCACCATCAATGAATTAGATGTTTTTTACTGTAAAAGGACTGCAAACAATACTCATACGTGTGTCTTGTTAGAAAGATCCGAACCAAATTAAGACATAAATTTAGAACTGTTAGGAAGAAATCTTACTTTAAGGTGTGGATACCAGTTCACAGAATAAACACAGCCATTTGTCCTTAATTGGTTCCCCTGTTGCAGTGGCATTTATGCCATTTGAATAGGTCCACTCAGCTTCCTTTATTTCAATTCTGCACAGAGATCTAGTGATGCTTTAGGAATCATGATCATTTCGGTGAATTTTATGTTGGCATTTTATTTAATAAACAGGTATGAAAAAGCTTTAGGTGGCATATGGGTTGTCATGGTGCTGTTCATGTGCTATACGCTGACTGAAGTTCTTCGAGTTCTAGGTAGCACATGGTTAAGCAAGTGGACAAAGGAAAGTGCTGCAAAGAACTATGGAGTGGGTTTCTATGTTCTGGTTTATGCATTTTTATCTTCTGGTCAGGTATGTATGGAGTAGATTAGTTAATTAATGCATACCACATTTTTGAATTAGAGTATCAGCCTTCAGATGTTCTTTCTGCTTTTCTTTATGATATTAACACCCATGTGTTTCTTTTGTTTCTCTTACATGGTAGAGAAGTGTTCTTTCAACCATCCAAAAGGTTTTTTAATTGTTTTGGTCATCTTTTCTGGTAGTGATTTGAATGCAATAATCTCTACTAGCTAAAGGGGCTACTGATGTATAGTTTTATATCTCTGTGTCAAATCTGTAACTTCCTATCTACATGAAGTGCCTTTTACTCTCCTTTCCAAGAAAGATGGAATGGAATATTTTAAAGTTGCAATGTTGTTCCTTATTTTTCCCCTTGATCACTCTTTTTATCATTTGTCTGTTTGGTTTGTTTGTGGCTTCAGAGTCTTTGGGATGCATCAAAGGCTTTGAAACATCACAGAAATTACAACAGAGGCTTATTCTGTTATTACTAAATGCAGGTGCTGGTGGCATTGGCAAACTCATTTTGGTTGATAAAATCAAGTCTCAATGCAGCTAAAAGACTCCATGATTCTATGTTACATTCAATACTTAAGGCTCCAATGGTTTTCTTCCACACTAATCCAACCGGACGAATTATAAACAGATTCTCGAAGGACATTGGCGATATCGATCGTAATGTTGCCAATTTTGTAAATATGTTTCTTAATCAACTATGGCAGCTTCTGTCAACGTTTGTGCTCATTGGTGTTGTAAGCACTGTATCCCTCTGGGCCATCATGCCACTTCTGATTGTATTTTATGCAGCCTACTTGTATTATCAGGTTGGTGTTTCTCTATCCCTTTGTATGTATGCTATTTTCTCATAGGTCTATATGCTTTCTTCCGTGCTGTGTTCTTGTTGACCTAGGTCAATTGTCTTGCTGCATAGAACATCTCGATCTTCCGAACAACATTTTCAGGAGTCAACTAAAGATAGACTATCCAAAACTTTTAATAACAAGTTATCAATGGTATTCAGAATCTCATACACTATATTGGCCCTAGCCAAATTTAATGTGGAATGTCCAGGGACCATTAAAAACTTATGATAACAATTAAGAAAAACTTCAAACTAAATTTGCAATATCGTTAAGGATAAACAAGTTGAGAAGGTTCATAAGAATTTATGATATTAATATACTTGGAGTTAAAGTTAGTTTAGAGGCTATGATATATTCGGAGAGTATCTCAAACTAGGTTCAACTAATTTTCAGATTTTCAAGAATTAGTTTAAGAAATAGCTCTTGAAACTGTCATTAATATGAACTGCTGGCAGCAAGAATCCTATATATGCCAGACAAAGAAAACCACTACATCTTATTGAGAAAGTTATGTGGTAAAGAGGATATTTAATGTCACAGGGTATACTCACCAGATTATAGAACTTGCACCAACATTTGGAAAATTGTGAGCAAACAAAACATTTACTCAGTCAAACCTTCCTGTAATTCAAGCTCCTCTGTCACACTAAGCAGTTACTAGAACTGTCAGATTCATTTTGAAACCTTTGATGTGCAAGCATTTTGAGGTATACTTTGCTAAGAAATGTTCAGAATTGGCAGATATAAAGGCATAAGATACATCATAATAATAATAATAATAATGAATTAAAGAAGCTGTTGAATGATATATCTTGCCGAAGCCTCATGTTGTGAATATGGTTTTGCTTCTTCTATTTATCCATTTTCAAATATCAAAGTACTTAATTTTATAGATATTGGAAACTTAAGGATGCTGAACAAGGTATATCAGGGACCTCAACTTCATTGAGGCTGAAACCAGATCTTAGTATTATATGGTGTCCCATTGCCATTTCTTAACCAGATAAAAGACATAATTGCTTGATCCCTACAACTATCTGGCCGATAATATCTTAGGAAACAAAAGGACATGTTCAGTTGCATTCTTGAAATGGCAAAGAGGAATTCCAGAAGCTACAGGGAACTGAATAAAAGGCCGTTGAGCTTATACATCCAGTGCTGAAAAGTTGCCTTGAGATTTGGGATAACTATATTTTTCTGAGATGCTTTGGTGATAAAAATTGACAAGTATTTCTGTGTCTCCTTAAGAAATGTGTTCCTTCATATAAGTTTAATTTTGTATACTTTGTCACTCCTGTCCAACTGCATCGCACAGATGATAGAATTTGACTACACTTCTGTGATTTATTGCATTTTGAATCTGGTTATTCATCCATTTTTATCAATTTTATTGTCCATTTTAGTCTTGCTAGTAATAGATCACGTGCTTTGCACGTGAAAGCACGTAATTGTACTATCTTAAAATATATTATTTTTCAGATACTAAAAATTTTTTATGAAATTTTGATTGTCAATATCATAATATAGTATTTTTATGTTATTTATTTTTTTAAGCTAGTTACTTTTAAAAATTTTATTAAATAAAAAGAGACACAAAACATTCTAATGTAGTTGACATATTCCTTAGGATTGAATTTGAAATCATGAATGAAACACTTTTTGATTTATAGCTTGAACTCTAATATATCAAATATTGATAATATCATGTGTTACCAAAATTATTGTATATTCATGACTCTATTACATATAAACAACAATCATCACAATTTTTTATAAACGAAGAATATAATTAAGATAGAAAAATAAACACACATGTAATTTAAATTCTTTGTATTATGTTAATTCTATTTTGTCAATAATGGAGTATAAATGATCCACCACGTAAAGTTTTTCTGGCTTATATATTCTAACAATTGAAATTTTATAGATAGAGATAGTTGGAGTTTTTCTATTTTCCTTTTCTTTTATTCATGTTTTTTGCACAATCCAATGCGAAGCAAGAGCAACAAGTCTACATTTTTAATATGAGGACAATATTTTTGGTTTTAATATTGATTTTTTTGATGATCATGAAATTGGAATGAGAATTGTGGCTAATTAATAATTTTAATATTAATTTTTTGTATATTGCAGTGTTTTAGTTTTTAATTGCCAACTTTTAATCCATAACCGCTACCATTATTATCAATTATTGGAATGCATTAAGGTGGCGTTTGGTTCATACATCGGAATCGGATTTGGATTCGGAATCGAATATCCTGGGTTTGGAATGAGGTCATTCATTCCAATATATTTGTTTGGTTCAAGTACCTGGAATGTGTATCATTACTATAGTTGATGTTTGGTTCGTCGACTCTTTCGGAATGGAATATAATAAATATATTATAAACCACATCGTAAATGATAGTTATTGGCTCTTTGTAAATGAGATATAAGAAATTTTCACTAATTAAATATATTAGTATAAATATATTAGTAAATTTAGTCTAACTAATTAATAATTTCTATTAGTAAACATGTATAATTATTAGTATAATTGATAATATTAATTATATTACATAAATTAATGTACATTATATAATACATATAACTAATAATATCATTATTATAAGTTTGTAACTAATTAAATTAAATATTATATATAATTAAATATAAATATACAAATGTCATAATATAAATATAATTATATAATATATATACAAATATTAATTATACAAATATTTTATATAAATATAATATATATTACATATTAAATATAGTTATTATTATATATTATTATATTTAAAATAATAATTATAATTATATAACTTATTAATATTACATACATGTGTATATTATAATTATATGCACATATAATATACATTTATAAATATACATATATATTATAAATAGAATATTATATAATATTAATAAACTTATAATATATATTATATAAGTATAATTATATTTAACTAAATAATTATAATCTATAATTATATAATATAATAATATCATCATTATTAGTTTGTAACTAATTAAATTAAATATTATATATAATTAATTATAATTATACAAATGTTATAATATAAATATATAATTATAAATATATAATATATAAATATTAATTGTACTAATATTTTATATAAATATAATGCATATTAATATTAGATATAGTAATTATTATATATTATTATATTTAAAATAATAAATATAATTATCATTATATAATTTATTAATATTATATACATGTTTATATTATAATTATATGCACATATAATATGCATTTATAAATATACATATATATTATAGATATATTATTATATAATATTAATAAATTTATAATATATATTATATAAATATAATTATATTTAACTAAATAATTATAATATATATTTATATAATATACTAATATTATAATAATATATTATAATTATTTATATATTATAATATTTCTAATATATATAATATGTATAAATATTAATTATACTAAATATTATGTAATCGGTAAAGATTTTGGAATCACACTTGGGTTTTGGACAAAACCCACCCTTTTACTAAGGAATGGGGGGATGCCAAGTTTTTAGAAATCATTCCAAGATTTCAATTCCCATTCCAGTAAACCAAACACCAACTATGAAGTTTATTCCATTCATTCATTCCGATACCCTTTTACCAAACGCCCCCTAAATGTGTCTAATTACAATTGTCACCATAAATGGAATTTACTTCATTTTAAAGGTTTTCATTTGATAATCGCTTCCATTATTCACTAATATTGCAATACAATAAATATATGTAATCATTAGAAAAATAAGGGTATTTTGGATATCACCAAAAACAATTTGGATATCATTTTCATTTTATCATTCTTCATTTTATATCTACTCTTATTATAATCCTTATTTTATCATTGGAGATGGTTTCTGACTTGATGGATGGATTTGGTTTGCTCAAACCAAAACAAATGAAGCATTACTATATTATTGTTAATAACAATAATGTTTGTCTTCCCCTGGATATCAGTGATTTGGATGTTGTCTTTGGTATTATTTGAATTGTATTCTAGCTTTTTAATTCATTTGCTATTTACTTTATGTCATTTTATAAATAGTTTTCAATTTTATTTCAGTTTTTCTTGTTTTGATCAGTTGCTATTAATGATAATAGTAGTTTGTATGGTGCTATTTTAGATTTCTTTTTTCTAGTTTAATATTGCTATTTCAGTTATAAAGGTGTCATTATTTTTTATATATTGAAATTTCATTGGGTGCAACATGAAAAATTCTTCATATTGGTAAAAGTGCATAATTGTAAAATTTACTTGTGATATTTGTGTGAAGATATACAGATGAATAAGGGTTTTCTTGTCATTGTATGTTTCTCCATTTCTAGAGAGTATCTATTTTTTGAATTTGATTTTTTTAATAATCTCAACTAATGACTAATGAGAAATTTTTCATGCTTCAATTAAGAAATTTTGATACGTACAATAATAGGAGATGGAGTCCAAGGGTAAGTAAATAGTTTTTAATGAGGAATTTTTAATTATAATTACCAATACCATTAAAATGTAATCAATTGGAGTGTTTTATTTCTTTTAATTAATATCACATTAAAATGCAATAATTCTAATTAAAAGACATGAGGGTAATTTAGGAATAACAAAAACTAAAATAAAAAAGTGCTTACACTTGCACTACCCAATACCAACATTCATACTTTTTATATAGTAATGATAATTGTCTGCACCACTTTTATTGCATTTGCACATGAGGACTATGTTCAGAACTGAAGTCCTCATAAAATTTAGTATTTCACTTTTGTTTTATGGTATCTATGATTTTGCAAATGTGTAAAACCAATCCACATGTCCACAATCTGGCAAGTAGTTATATCATTCTTCGCTCAAAAACATGTATCACCTTGTATCTCTACTATTTTCTGCTATTACCTTCTCCCAGTACTATGTTTTTAGAACCTTTACAAATGATGTCTGATGTTCCACAGAGTACGTCTCGGGAAGTGAAACGTCTAGATTCCATTACCAGGTCTCCTGTGTATGCACAGTTTGGAGAAGCTTTAAATGGTTTATCAACCATTCGTGCATATAAAGCATATGACCGGTTGGCAAACATCAGTGGAAAAATTATGGACAATAATCTCAGGTTCACTCTTGTGAATATAAGTTCCAATCGCTGGCTCACCATAAGGCTGGAAAGCCTTGGAGGTATTATGATCTGGTTGACAGCAACCTTTGCAGTATTGCAGAACGGAAGAGCAGAAAACCAGCTTGCATTTGCATCTACAATGGGTCTGCTGCTTAGTTATTCTTTAAACATTACAAATTTGTTGGGTACTGTTTTAAGACAAGCAAGTAGGGCTGAAAATAGTTTGAATGCTGTTGAGCGTGTGGGAACATATATTGATTTACCAGCTGAGGCTCCGGATATTATCGAAAGCAATCGGCCTCCACCTGGATGGCCTTCAGCAGGACTAATCAAATTTGAAGATGTTGTCCTCCGCTACAGGCCTGGGCTCCCTGCTGTCCTACGTGGCTTGTCTTTCACAATCTCCCCAACTCAGAAGGTCGGCATAGTTGGAAGAACTGGTGCAGGAAAATCCAGCATGCTCAATGCTTTATTCCGGATTGTAGAACTTGAAAGAGGGAGAATCTTGATTGATGGTTGTGACATTTTGAAGTTTGGATTGACCGACCTACGTAGAGTTCTTAGCATTATACCACAATCACCAGTTCTTTTCTCTGGTAAAACCTACTACGTTACCTAGTCTCTTGCTTTCTTTTGAGATCTTGTGTTTCTTCTATTCTGTCAAATGATTTTAGTTAATTCAATAGTCTTCGCAATTGAAGGTCTCTCTGTAAATAAAAGGTTATATTTTTTTGAAGCTCTGGTAAAAAGAAGGATTGTGATTGTTCATTTATTCTTATTGACTGGGGACTGGGGACTGGGATGTGGATTGTTGGTATTAGAATGTTAGATTGGGGTGAGAGCTATGCAGAGATTTTCATAATGTGTTCTCATTATTTTATTCTTGATGATACTTTTCCATCCCAAGAACATGTTTATGCATCATAAGAAAATAAGATTCTGCATATCTCTGCTTATGGTAGTAAAGTTCACATGCATAACTGCAATCTATGCAGCCAAGCACAACTGAATACTCTTGCCCTGCTTGTGTAGATGTTGCTTTAGGTTAGTGGGGTTTCAAAAAACAGCCATTTTGATTTCAAATGATGCCTTGATTAGGCCAAGCCTATTAAACCTGAAATTCTTCTTACTTCAACATATAAATATGAGAAACTGATTTTCCACTTAGATGTATACATGTCCTATGAGGTCTGTCTCATACTCAGTTTTATTTACATATGCCTTCTTCAAAGATTCCCTTCTTTGAAGATTCTCTTAAATGCCTGCTGCTGAGTTCTCACTCAAAAAACATTGCATTAACTTTGGCCCACTGCTGCAATGAAGTTTGGCTAAAATGCATGCATGCGTATGAGAACATATATACGTAAATCCTTGACAGTGAAGTTATGTTTAGCTCTTTCTTCAGTTTTAGTAAATCTAAAATCTTTGGACTTAGATTCCACTTTTGCATTCAAGTATTCTTTAGACTATTTAATTTCAGTCAAGTTTTTAAAGATTTTGAATCACAGTTCATTGTTTGTCCAGGAACTGTGCGATTTAATCTTGATCCCTTCAATGAACACAGTGATCTTGATCTCTGGGAGGCATTAGAGCGGGCACACCTAAAGGATGTCATTCGGAAAAGTGTGTTTGGTCTGGATGCTGAGGTACACATTGAATACTGTTATTCCAATATCATACATGTTACTGGAGATAATAACTATTTTGGTCTTCCCATGCATTGATAAACAGAATGGTAATGGTCCTCATCTTCCTTTCTTCAATCATTGGCTTAGTATCCAGTTTTTGATCAGTACAAGCTCTATGGTTGATGTAGTTGACCACTAATTTCGCTTCAACTTCAAAGACTGCATCTTCCATTGGCATTGTCTTGCCCTTTTATGCTTTCAACTTAAACTTTGTCACAGAAGTACCATTTGTTCCTCATTTGCCCATGTATGCTATAACACGTACATAGTGAATTCAGTACTTCTTTAAACAATTTGATTCAGAAGCTAAAGATCTGTTTTCACTAGTCCCCAGAATTGAACTGCTGCTTAAATTTTATCTCTACTTGCACTCGAGAGATCCAGATTCTTGGATACTCCTGCGTTAGAATAACCAATACTCTAATGATTCAACTTCCTGACAGGAGAGAGAGAGAGAGAGAGAGAGAGAGAGAGGGAAAAAGAAAAAGAAAAAGAAATGAGTTCAATGTCCTTTAAAGTATGCTGGAATTTTTTCTTTAACAGGTAGAATCTAATCAAATAGTTTTCGGGGAAAAAAAATCAGCTTTTGTTTCACGTTGATACCCGACAAGATTTTCGGGTAATTTGCATGCAAGGGAGCCAATAGATAACACATTGTGTATGCAGACTTCCAAGTTCTTCTACATAGTTCATGCTGCATGCAAGTTAAATGGAAACTTATATGTATTGGGGTTGAATTTAGGTTTCAGAAGGAGGCGAGAACTTCAGTGTTGGACAGAGGCAGTTACTCAGTCTTGCTCGATCACTACTTCGGAGATCAAAGATTCTCGTCCTTGATGAAGCAACTGCAGCTGTTGATGTTAGAACTGATGCGATAATCCAGAAAACTATTCGAGAAGAATTTAAGTCATGCACAATGCTCATTATTGCTCACAGGCTAAATACTATCATTGACAGTGACGGGATCCTGGTGCTTGATGCTGGTCAGGTATACCAAGGATCAGATATATTCCAACTGATTTTGTATGGTTTAAATACAACCAACTTCAGTCAAGGGTGCATACTTTCTGTAGTTGCCATGAGGGACTTAAAGAATCCATTTGCAGGTAGTGGAATATGATGCACCTGAGAAGCTGCTTCTCAATGAAGGAAGTGCTTTCTCAAAGATGGTTCAAAGCACTGGAGCTGCAAATGCTGAGTACTTACGCAGCTTAGTACTGAGAGATGAACAAGAGAACAAATTGAAAAGAGAGTCCAGGCACATTATCGGACAGGGGAATTGGCTGGTATCTTCCCACTGGACAGCTGCAGCCAAACATGCTGTTGCTATTAATCTTGTTTCCGCTTTGAAGGATCTCCGGGTAGCAGAATTTGATGAGTCAAACAACATTGTACATGAAACTAGGGATGCAATTGTAACTCTGCAAGGAGTCTTGGAAGGGAAGCATGACGAACAAATTGAAGAGACACTAAATAATTATGCAGTTCCTAGAGATAGATGGTGGTCTGCCCTCTACAGAGTTATAGAAGGTAATGTCTCAATTTTCCTGTCTCCTCTACTTCAATAGCTCAAATCGTCCATACCCACAAATTTTGGGCTATGCGCGAGGAAAAACTGATGTCCTTGATGTGTTGTCAAAGCACATGCTTGCAGAAGAAGTGTTTCTTTTTAGTTTTTTCCTCCATTACGAGACATTCTAATCTTCACTTACTATTCAGTACGCTAAATTTGCCTGAACTTCAGAGGCCAACCTCATTAGTTATGGCAGCTTACGGAGTTGGATTATTATGTTTTAACCATTTCTAGGTCATAGATTGCTTTTTCAACCATTGAATATTTTTCTGCCTCTTGATTTTGGCTACTCAAAAAATGTTCTGTACAGCTGAATAATCTTCATACAGAAAATAGTGACCTTATGATTCCATTCATCACATGCACATCTGTGGTTACAAATCTTTAGGCCTGATTCTCCTATCTGTGTTAATTACTAATATCCAATCACCTTTAATGCTGCACATGATATCCTCTCGGTGGAGAGGAAAAGCGATCTATTTATACTATCTCAAAAAGAACAAAAGAGAACTTGATTATGTATGCTACTGCTAATTATTTCTGTGGTTTTTTTTTTTTTGGTCTAGCACTTGCTGTAATGAGCAGGTTGGCACGTAATGGAATTCAGCATTTTGAGAATGCTTTTGAAGCCACATCTGCAAATTGGGACCAAGTTGAAATGTAGAGACCATAGTTCTGGAATTTGCATATTGAGATGGGATTGGCACAAAAGAGGTGCCAAAATTGCATAGTCAAGAAAAGGGTAAACAGTTCTGGTGAATACTGAATATTTAACCACTTACTAAGCAGTTTCCTTATGCAATTGCTACCTGTGTGTTTGTCATAGTTGAGAATAGAGATCAAACACCAGCACCCATCTAGCTTTAGAAGCCAACCATCAAGAGCTCTGCTCTTTCTTTCTTTTTTCTTTTTTTTGTTTTGGGGTAAATTCAGGAGCTCTGTATCAAATAGAACCCACATTTTGTCTACATTGAGAAAAAACTGTTCATTTTGCTCTACTGGTTTCTACATGGAATTGTTGAATAATTCTGGAGCTTCGCAACCAAGCTTGTCTAACCAGAGACGATGTTCCTTGTGTTGCATTTCTCCATGTTTATAGTCCCATAGAGCTTTCTTTGAAACTGAATTTACATATAAATACTCTTCCATCCTGAAGCACTCTCAATCTGAAACACTGCCAAGAACTTTACAATTTCACTAAGTTTTAACATGCAGGATTTGGAAAAGCTTCGTCATTTTCTGCTTGTCTTCCATAGCTAAGCACCATGTCAAAGCTTTCAGTGTATGAATTTGAGAATGCCATTAACGCTTGAAACACATTAGGGAGGCTTGTTTGTAAGTTGTTCAATATCATGGCTCGCGTGTTTTGAATAGAGTTTATATACTTAGACTTCTCATCATCCACACGTTTCTTCAATACCTCAATTTTAGCTCGCTTGACTGAAAAAGGATGCTTTGGGCCCAGAACAGTCTGCATCTCTTCATTCGTGAAGCTACCCTCAAACTTCATCTCCATTTCAGATAGCAAGTTCAGCTCACGTTCTAGCCTCCTCTCAAGCTTATCAGATCTCTTATACAGGTTCACTTCTTCTTCCTGTTGCAAAACTATGGAGCGGACAGCTGATAAAAGGCTGTTAATGGCCTCCAGAGCCCTCTGCATCAAAAAACCAGTGTCCATTTATCTAGTGTTAAAAACATCCACAAGATAATTCAATATGTTGAATCTCCAAGACTATGTTTTTATGATGACAAAACCATGTACAATGGAAAGCATTATCTGTTTGCTAAATGGAATATGAAGCAAAAATCATTAAAACAGAAGACGCTGATAAACCAAACAAATTATTGTTACTCCCGTCTCCTTTCCAAAAATAATTGCAGAAGGCAATCATCATGAAAATCATGGAAAAGTTGAAATTATCATATAATTCAAAGTGACAGCACCAATCTTTATAACCAAATGGAAACAAATTTGTCACCAAAAAAAACACAGCTTTACTTTAGGTTGACAATCGCAAAATTCTACCAGACAATCAACACATTGCTGTCACTATTTTCTTGAACACTGTCAACCTCTATGTTACCAATTTCCTACTCTGCTAATCCACAGATAAATTGACATCCACAAACTTAAGGATATTATGCCTAGCAAATTTCTCCCAATTTCAACTGTATTTCTCACAAAAGCAAATGAAATCAGTTATGAAGGCTATGGACCAGAAAAAGGCATCTTTTAATATGCTAATGTGATCACAAAATTACATTCGCATGTGGTAAGTTAACCTATAAGTCAAGCAAAATGGATAATAAAAGCCTAGAACCATCCTCCATCCTCCAGTCTATTTTCTTTTTTTTCTTTTTTTTTTTTTACACATTATAGAAAGTTTTCAATAAATTTGTCTCGAGCCCTTTTTCCAGCAGGAACTTTCAAGTATAAATACCTCACAAGAATTAAAAGAAGATCCAATTATTCTAATCATGCATTCTAAATATTTTCTCTGTACTTCTTGCAAGAAAAAGTTAATTGATGCACTGCATACAGAGAATCACAGCATCAATTCATCACACTACATTGAGCCCTCATCTATTTAGGCAGAAGGAATTATGAAGACCCCTCCAACCAACACCAAAGTGATAAAGAAAGAAAAAGAAAGATGGGCAAAGGGTAAAAAAGTAAAATGACTTTCTAAGCCGAACCAAAAGTAGAAATAAAAGGCAACCTTATCCGGTAGCTTGTCAAGTGCAACGAGCCATTGCTTAGAAAGTGTACACACTGCAGATGAGCTAACACTACCCTGACCATTGTCTACAAGGCAGTTGGTGAGTTGAACCCACCTGCAGAGGGCACTCACATATTCTCTCTGAGATTTGACAAGTTTGCACAAGCTGTTATACCAGGAATTAACTTCAGTTTTAAGCTGGGCTGCAGCCTGCCGATCGTATTCACTAGTAGGTTCCATATTCTGCTGATTCACAAGATGATTCAGCTGCTGAGCGATATGGTTCTGCACTTGATGACACTCGTACATCCTTCGCCACATGCACATCAGCCTGAGAGAGAAAGATCTCAAGCAAATTAGATTTAGAAAGATTCGAATGAGCAATCATAAGTGAACATGAATAGTAATCTGTTGGGCCAATGGCCTTTTGATGTGACTTGCTAAGGTAGCTTCCACTCATTGCCCAACTTGAAGGCAAGTTTCCCTTGACAAGGACTACATTATTCCTAAAGCATTATAGTTCTCATGACAATGGGAAGCAGTTTTAATAAGCAAGATGATCCAGTACTTCATTGAGATATAATAATGTATTCCAAAAGAATTTTTTTCCTACTTTCTCCCAAACAATGGCTTAAGAATTCCTCTCTACCAGGAAACTGGTATGCTCTTATCAGCTCTCTGAAGAATTTAACTAATCTATATAAATCTGACTAAGAACACAATCCTGGAAATGTTTTCCGCTACCACTAAACGGGAAAGAATTCTTTACTTAAGCAGTCTCAACTTCAAGGTATGGCACAATTAATCATGGAATGAAGATAATTTTCCATCTTACCCTAGAGTTTAGAAATGTCTGGATTCCTGGAAGATTATATAAAACCAAAAATCTCTAAAGTAGAAAGCACTTGGTTGCTTGAGCTTTACCCAGAAATTAATACAATCAGCTGAGGATGCAGCTCCTCATCTATGAGCTTTAATATGGTTGAGCAAGTCGAACTATTTGATTGTTGCAGAGATAAAATATCAGACTGCAAACTTTCAACCACTGACCGAGCTTTGTCTGTCTTTGACCAGTCATGATCTTCTTCCTCTAGCTTTTGCAGCATCAATGATTTCCTTTCATGTTCCAACTTGGTAAGCTCTTCTTCCTACAATGTTTGTGTGATAAAGGTAGCACCAAGACCTTCCCAAAAAGCACAGAAGTATATAGCAAAATAATGTCCATACAGAAAGCAAAGTACAATGTTTAATCTTTATAACAATTCCAGCTTATTCCTTAACAACGTAGTTAATAGGTATCAGAGTAAAGTTGCATTCTAACAATAACATCCTGCCATTTAAGTACTAAACCATGTTCAACCAAATAACAATCTTCAAACTAAATGAGCAACTTCAACAGTCTGTGCATTACAGATTGCAAAAATACTTCCAGACAAGTTTCAAAACTAAAAAGAAAAGTCTATAGGAAAGCACAAGATTCACATTTAGCTAAATAGAGAAAACAAATATGTGGCCCTTATTATTTTTCTTTTTCACAATAAAAGCATTACATGCAAATATTTTCTTAGGCTCTATATCATACAAAAGTACCAGAAGCCACATGTGAGTATTCTGATAATATCACCAAGCCTCCAAAACAATATGCCTAATTCTGCTCATAGCAACATCAAGTATCACTGTCAAGCTGTTAAAGTGCAACATTTCCCCCACCACTTAACAGTCAACAGAGGAAAATCCAAAATGAAAATCAGTACAAGGAAACAAAAGATTAACAGGAAAACAAACTTGCATTTCCATGTAGAACCCATGAAACAAAGCTCAAACAATCAGTGTTTTTTGTAGTTGACGCAGAGATGCTGTTCAGTTTAATTAAAACATAGGAATTACCTTTACTTCCCGGTGGAGCTTCCGTTCTGCATCATAAAGTTTGGCAAGAGTAACACAATGAGCTCCAGGCTTGCAGGGGTCACTAGGGCCGCAGGTATCTCCAGCATCCCTAGTAGACTGAAGTGACTTTGAGGACCAACTCCATGTCAATGCATTAAAGACCTTTGCGGAGTTGCTTCTCTTCCCTGTACATAATAAAGCAGCAATTACTCAGAAGAAGTCTACATTGAAAGAAACTCCCTCAATCACAAGTCTAACAAGAATAGTCAGATCAGGACTTAACTACAGGGATGTGACTTTAAGTGTGTGAATAAAGAACTTAACTCTGATCAGCAACAATTTTCGCCATGAAGAAAATGTTGAGAGAGATCAAGATGGATAACCTAGTGTCCTGATGTGACAGGAGGCAACCAGCCTATCTTCAACCACTTTTATATCGTCTCTGAATTTATTTTTAGTTACTCTTCCAGACTTCCAATGGTGCTTTGATTTCCAATGTAATTTCATTATCAAATGATAAAAAAATTTCTTCCAGATAAAGACCAGATTATGATGTTACATCTAAAACCTCTGCCAGAGTTTCCCCTAATGTGAAAATTAAAATACAGAGAAACAACTACTACATACATACATACATATATATATATATATATATACTATATATATATATACATGTGTGTGTATACCCACTTGTAACAAAAATTTAGAGATAAATAATATAAGCTCAGAAGGGAGATGTATGTCTATAATTTTATATTCACTAGTAATAAGGACTAACTCTCAAAGAATTTCAGAAAGAAATCAACCAATTTTTTAAGCATTTAAGATTTGGTATTACTTAGAGAACTTTTTTAAGATTTACGATGCACTCTGAGTGTCCCCGAAAGTTCCTTCTCAAAATAAGATGCAAAAAGGACGAAAATAAGTCCATTATATTAGGTGAATCATCAACAGTGCAATATATATGAGAGACTACATAATGTGTCAAAGAAGTACAATAGATGCTATGTTTCAGAGAAAGCGAATCGAACAATACCCATTTATTTCACTTCAGAAGGCCAAGTAAAGGCTCCAAAGCATATGTACCAAAAGACGTAATAAACACTATATGTCAGAGTTTGTATTTGCTTAGATGATAGGCAATTGCAAGCACAAGACCAATGAGCAGCGAAGACCCACAGGGATTACTCTGACACAGTTTAATCTTCGAAAATTTAGTATCAGTACAAAGGGACAAAAACAAATGTATGTATGATGGTCACTAAAGGAGAGGAATTACTCTTGTTTTCATTAATACTCTGGTAGAGAGGAGAGTCAGCCACGTTGAAGTCCAGGAAAACAGCTACATCCTTCCCACCAGCCGATGCTTTCACAAAATAATCATCTATATCCCTAATAATACCACTCAAAGTCTTTTTTCTTCTCCAGATTACCATGGACAAGTCTGCAGTATCCTTGGTGTGCCAGCTCATCACTGAAGAATTTTCGTCAACAACACTGGCAGTTTGTTTCTTGACAGGAGTAATATCAACAGTATTATTTACAGCAACTACATCCACCTGATCTTCTTCCTCAAACTCAGTATTCGCCTCTGCCCAGTTCTCCTCCTCAATTTGCTCCTCCTCTATCTTACTCTTCTGTTGACAGTTTGGTGATGTTGAACCAAAAGGGTCCCAGTATTCCCACGACGTACTCAGAACTGGAGGTGGTGGAGTGTGACTATTGTCCTCATCAATGTCTATGATTTCCTCTTCAGAAGTCTTCATGTGGTGATTGTTATGAGAGTTTCTCAAATCAGGGCTAAAAGACGGTGGGGGAGGAGGGGAAGGCGGCAAAGGGGGGGGAGGTGAGGGTGGCAGTGCATGACCCAAAGCACCATCCTCAATTTCCAATGACTCTGACTCAGTGAATTGGCGAAGGGTCACTCCAGTATTTCTCAATGCCCTTAAATATTCTAATTGGGAATCAGCATACTGTTTCCTCAATACCAACAACCGTTTCAATATTCTCTTCCTCTCCTTGCAAATTCTCACCCTTTCTTCTTTATCAATGCTTGATACAACACAACCCATTCCTTCAACGTTGACAAGTCCAAGTTTACCCAGCTATAACTCAAACCAGTACCCTATAAAGCCCCCAAATTACCAAATGCTGGTCAAAATTTTTAGGAATCTGCAGAGAAAATGAAGCGGAAACTTTTAGTATCAAGCTGAAAATCGTAATCATTCTACAGAATTAACCTTGCCAATGCAGTTTTGCCTCAATGTTATACATTGAACTCCTTAACAAGTTTCAATTGAAGAATGAAATGATTAGAAGCATGTCATCTGCAAACCAAATAAAGCTGCAGGAAACATGTTTCGAAGCTGTTTGTGCATTTTGTTACCTCAATTTCTAAGAATTTCAGAGCACCAAAAGAAGTGATAATTCAAATCAATTGTAACAAATTAAAGTCATGGAAGACTCGCCCTAAACTACACTTACAGCTTTCTAAACCACTTTGATAGATGATCAAGATTCTGCAACCAGGAAGAAGACAAAACAGATTGCATGTATTCTTTCCATCATGTACCCTGTAAAACTATGTCAGCTCACAAACCAAAGATAAAGCTGTCAAAGTTACCTTAAAAAAGGGTGTCAGTTAGCTAACAAAATAAAAATCGTGGCAATGCCTCCAACCCAGAAACTCCTATTTCTTGAAATCCCTTTACACTCCAGATCCACAGCATATATGAACCTGCATTGCCATTTCTACTTTAAAAAAAATTTACTTGGAAAATAAAAGAACAGTTCAAAGGGAGTCCTAAATTCCCTGTATTTCTTGAAAATGAAACAACAAATCAACAAAAAAAAAAAGTGACTTTTTTTAATATATTTTTGCAGGCCTGATAGAAGACAAGAAAACAACGGGGAGTACTGACAGAAAAGTTGTCAGAGGTATGGAGAACAGCAGCAAAGTGCTACAAGTAAAATGACTAACTAGTCAAGGATTTGAAAACGTTAAAATAAAAAGGCGAAAGAGAAATGAAAAGGTATAAAAGCAGAGAAAGAAGATTCTTTTTTTTCTTTGTCGAAAGAGAAAGAAGATTCTGGCTGAAGAGATTTTAGAGACAGTCTAGTCTTCATAGTTCACACTTCACATGAAGGAGAGAGAGCATTCATTGGAGGAGAACAACGCAGAGGAAAAAAGGCTTCCGAAAAGTGGAAAGCGAGCACGAAACTCGAGATCGTGAGAAGCATCCAAGGCTCCAAGATGGGCAGGGTGCGTGCTAACTAGGGGTGGCAATTCCTGACACGATCCGAAAATATGACACGAACCTAACACGAAATTAATGGGTTTGGGTTGAGATTTCGAGAGTTCGGGTCAGAATCGGGTCGAACCCGATGAATCCGAAAAAAAAATATGTCAATTTCGGATCAACCCGTGGTGACCTGATATGACCCGATGTGACCGGTTTATAAATTAAAACTAATTTAATAAACATAAAAATTATTTTATCTAACTAAACTAAATCATTTTTTTCCAAAGGCATTAATTACTTAATCCTAAATGAATTTATTTAACTTGTGTGAAGTTAAAATTATTATATTTGGACAAATAATATATTATGTTATTTTTTACTTTTATACTGTTTTAATTTATTTTATATTTGGTTTGAGATAAAACACTTTTATGGTGTTTAATTTATTTTAGATTTGGTTTGAAATTATTTATTTAAAATTTTATTACTTGATGATGTAATTAATTTTGTGAAAAATTGATTTTATTAGAAATTACAGTGATAAATTAATAAATTAAAATTAAGTTTCGGGTCATTTCGGGTCGACCCGCCAACCCGAAATTTTCGGGTTCGTGTTAGGTACCTTGACTCGTTTCGGGGTTGGGGGGTCGGGTTCGGGTCAACAAGTTCTTTGTTATACTTAAGTCTCAACCCGACCCGACAACCCGAACCCGACCCGATTGCCACCCCTAATGCTAACCTGACACAACAAAGTAGCAGTACACTAGTACTAGCGTACTAGAATTGGATAATCTGAGATATTAGCACGTAGTCTCACCTCAAGAGTTGCCGGCTTTTGAGGTTTCCTGTGGATTTAGGTTTGTCAAATGCAAAAGTCTTCAACGGCTTTGAAAAAAAGACAACTGGCTGTCCGGGTTGAGTGAGCCCTCTTTAGGACTTAGTAGCAGCTCGCCTGGTTAGGTTAGTTATCCCACATCGATGAGTTGGGGGAGGGGTTTGGATAGTTGATAAGTCTCCTCAGAAACCTCAAGAGTTGCCGACTTTTGAGGTTCCCTGTGGATTTAGGTTTGTCAAATGCAAAAGTCTTCAACGGCTTTGAAAAAAAGACAACTGGCTGTCCGGATTGAGTGAGCCCTCTTTAGGACTTAGTAGCAGCTCGCTTGCTTAGACTAGTTATCCCACATCGATGAGTTGGGGGGGTTTGGGTAGTTGATAAGTCTCCTCAGGAACCTCAAGAGTTGCCGGCTTTTGAGGTTTCCTGTAGATTTAGGTTTGTCAAATGCAAAAGTCTTCAACGGCTTTGAAAAAAGAAGTCTCACTTCCGTCCTCTTCTGAAGTTTTCAAAATATCATAGGCTCCGTTTGAATTTGCAATTGTTTTCAAAAACTGTTTTTGTCAATGTTTTGAAAATCGGACCGGACTGGCCGATTTGACCGGTTGAACCGCCAACCGGCGATGACACCGATCCGGTTCAATGCCATAGTTGACTTTGTCAGAAAATCGGTCAAGAACCGATCGAACCGTAAAAACCGCGGTCGAACCACTATTGAACCGGTTTTCAACCTTCCTCTTTTTTTTTTTTTTCCCTTTTTGCAAAATGCAGCTATCAAAATTCAAACTCAAAACCTTTGTAATAGAAGACCAATGTATTAACCGTTGCACCATCACATCCTATTAGTTTTTTTTTGATAACTTATTTATATAAATCAAACACTCATATTTCTTTTTTCCATTTTTCTCACAAAATCTCATGGCTCTTTCTTTTTAATTTTCAACTCTCTCTCTCTCTATCCTCTTTTTTTTTGTCACTCCCTTTTTAATCAAACCTATTTATTTTTAATTTACTGATGTTTTCTTCCATCTTTTAATTTTGTTTTTGTCCATTAAATTGAAAAAAGTTCAAAAAGAATTATTTTTTTAACCCAAATTATTTAATGTTACAACCACTCACTTTTATCTCATTTTTTGTTTCTTATCAAGTTTACATTTTTATTTTCGATTTTCTTGACTTCCTTCGAACTCCAAACTTCCTTTTTTAAATTGCAATCTCTAAAACGTAAATTAAAATTTAAGTTCACAATATCTAAATTCTCATAGACGTGAATTTTGTATAATTTCAAAATATTGTGATATTTTTTGGTTGGATTTAGATATAATTGAAATTGAGATGAAATTTATTTGTTTTAACTTATAATTTAAAAAATTTATTTTTAAAAAATCCAAGTTATTAAAAAATAGTAAATCTTTCATCATATAAAGTATTAAATTAATCCATTACATGTCTTATTTTGTACATATATATATTTATATAAATAATTTTTTAAAAAATTCATTGAACCGAGGTTGAACCGGTCCGACCGGTTGAATCTCGACCCTTTCACTTCACCGGTTCAATGAACGGTCCGGTTTTTAAAACATTGGTTTTTGTCTTTCAACGACACAAATGTTGTGATCCAATAATAATTAAGTGTACAGTGAAACTAACACAAACCTATCATTTTTGTGAAAAGCCCCAATTATGTTGTATTCAGCTATTCTTTGACTACTCAACCCTAAAACACTTTCCCATTCGCAATTGAGTGTGAACGTCGCTACAATCCAAACTCAAACTAAATCTCTGCTTTTGGAAATGCTGCTCTAAAGAAAGCTCGCCGACTGAGTTTGCTTTTCTGCCGCTTCTCACACGTTTTCAAACATTCGGTGCAAAGACTCATTGCCAGAGTTCGTCTGGCATCAAGGAACTCTGACTCCCTCTTCGCTCTGCATCGAAATTTGGTATTTTTTTTCCCTTGCTTTCAAATGCTTTTTAGCTGATTATTGTCTAGAATAATGAGTGGATTTTTTGTGTCTTGCGGTCTTTTTGGTTAAAAATGTCAAATTGATGTGGCAAGTGACAAATATATGTGATACACTTGGGATCTGGTTTCTAGATGAGGTTCGATTTCATCTGGGTTGGACTTCATTTGAGGAGATTTTTGCTGTTTTCGGAGAATTTTGAAATGCTTTGGTAGAAAATTGGTGGCTTTATATTTTGTATTGTTTTATGGCTGCATGTCAGAACTATTTTTTCTGATGATTGTTTGAATGCGAACATATTTTCCTGAATTTATTTGGCTGGATAAAAGGGAAAAAACTAATTGTAACCATTTAAGTGTTTGTTTATATTATGGAAATAAGAGGGGCACATTATTTTTGGTATGTAAGTAAAAAGGAAACAATTATTTTGAGTGCTGAAATAATTACTATACTTAATAATTGTTTGGTAAGAAGATATAGGAAAAGATTTCATGGAAGTGTGGGACAGTTTGATATGTTAATTATTAGATAGAGTTTAATAGAAAGCATTAATCTGTTGTCGTGCATTGAAGCCATATATTCACGACCTCAGCTCTTGAAAAGACAGTGAAGTTGCTTGTAGGATGCTATTGTGAATTTGAGATTTTGGTTATTCCAGTGATTTCAAAAGCCACCAAAAAAAATATAAGAGCTGCTTGCTTCATTGTTTTATTTTAGTTATGAGTGTTTGGACAGTTTTGACAACCTGTTGAAAAGATGTGTAAAATGGGTTTTGGATGAATAGTTCTTACTTTAGTATGTTAATTTTTTGTTTTTGGAAAATGATTTGTAGTCTAACTTGAAATAGTTAAATGCTTGTCTACCATTTTTTACTTCGGAGATGCTGTTGGTGAAATTATATGTGCACATCTAAACCATGCTGGCAGCTTCAGGAAAGCTTAAATTCTATCTGAGAAAAGTAGCAAGTGTAGCCTATGTTGCTGCCATGACTTAGAGTGAAGCTTTTGGAAATATTAAACTGGAAGTTTTTATGTAATTGGGAAGGTCAGAGGAAGTTGTTAATGCATATCCTCCCCTCCTTAGCACATTAACTTCCTGGACACAGGGGCGGAGCCAGAAAAAAATTTTAGTGGGGGCAAAAATAACACCAAAATTTTTTATCTACTCTTTTTTTAATTTTTTAAGCAAAAAAATAATAAATTCATCAACAAGTACAAATGGGGGAAGAAAGAAGAGCCGTCGGTTGTGAAGGGAAAATGGGGACCAAAGGAGGAAAGGGAATTGGGGAGTGGGGACCAAAAGGAAAGACTGATATAATTGGTACATGGCTATGTTGGGGAAAAAATGGGAGACCAGGGGAGGAAAGTGAATGATATAAATTTTGTGACTTATTTTTCACATTTGTTCTAAAAAAACTCTGGGAGCACCTTTACAATTATATCAAAATTGTAGAACTATTATACAAATTTGAGGGAAGGCAGTGGGGGCCCATGCCCCCAGTGCCCCCACCTTAAATCCGCCCCTGCCTGGACACCATCCACTTTCAAGTGTGTTTACTGTGAAGCCACCCATGTGAAATCTGATATGAGAAAAAACAGTCTGTGGTGGAATAAGTTTTTACTTGTTATATTGCTAGCCTCAATGGAAATTAGTGTAGAGTAGTTTTTTCATGGTGTTTTTCCATATTGTGCACTGTCCTCTATGTGTCTTGCCTTGTCTAATATAAAACTGAACTCATGTTGCCATATTATTCTTGCTACTACTGTGTTTTTTCCGCAATGAACTACCTGATGCTATTTAAGGCTTGTAATTTTTTTTCGAAACCTCGAAAACACTTGATGTCTGCTATCTAAATTCATACTGCTGTTCGGTGCTAAAAAACAGGGTAGTCTGACTTGTATGGTTGCCGCTATCTAAGGCTACATGCCCTCTATTACCTGTAGTGTTGCCAAAGGTATATTTGTTTGTTTCCCCTTTGTTCATTGCCTTGCGAATAGACTTTTTTCCTATGTCAACCCAGCATTGAAGCAGAATTGCATCCAGAATACTCGTTCATCCAGCTCAACTTGGGGGGAAAACGATTTAAGGCGGTGCATTTTTAACTACTACAAGGTAATTCTTGCTCCTCCTTCAGTTTGATTATTATTATGTCCTCTTTGTATCTTGAATAATCATGCATGTCACTTTATTTCTTTGTTTGTTTCTAGATTTATTTATAGTTAATTAAAGATGAGAAAACAAAGGCGCAGAGGTTCGGAGCGTTTGCATTTCTCTAAGCAGCATGAAATTGCTTTTGCCCACCACCTTTTAAACATGTATAGAGCTAGTGAAATTAAGGACAATAACATTTCTAGCTTTGTGGTTCCCGAAATACAACGGCAGTTGAACTGCCAATCCCGTACCTTCTTCACTTTCGATAGTATAAGAGCCAAATACTATGCATTGCGAGAGCTAACTAAACTATACATTGCCTTCAAAAGGCGGGGAACGGGATTGGATTGGGATAGCCAGAAGTTTACCTTCCTTATGGACGATAACAAGTGGGTCAAGATGGAGCAGGTATTACTATTCAATAATTGAGTTTTTATATCTGCCATGGCTGTGTTTTTACTCCTTATATGTGCTGGTTTTGTTAACTCCCTTTTGGCTGTCATTTTTGTATCAGGTGAACCCAAAATTTGTAAAATTTCAAAATGACTGCTCAGTCTATCATTTACTTGAGGAGGTATTTGTCAACCAAGGCGCAGCAGGAGACTTCAGCTCTAACTTCGAGAACGACCACCGTACTTCAGCCGAGGAGCAAGACATGGAGACTGCTGCACGATGTGCACGGGGAAAGGGAAGGTCGAACTATGTGGATGACAATGCTGATGTTGAGGTAATAGGGGCGAAAGAAGAGAAAGGGAAGAAGGGTAAAGGAAAACGGAAGTCGGGTGATTGCTCAAGCAGTAGTCCTATGTCCACCACCTCTGGTTCAGTAACTGATAGATACCTTAGGGCTCTTGACACCATTGAGTCGCTGGTTAGTCGAAAGAAGAGCAGTAGCATGAGTGTGTCAGTCAGCTCTCCGACCAAGTATCGTTCTGGCCGAGATGGATAGAAGAAATTGGACTACAACCCCGCCTGACTATTTGGCTATTTGGAATTTAGTTGGATCAGACGCCGACCGCATCACCTTTACGAAGTTAAAAGGCTATCTCCCGCCTGACCATGGCACTCAGGAGCCCCTTCCCCCAACCCCGTTATAGTCGTTTGTGCATTTGGAGCACTTTTTTAAAACTCGAGTTGCTGCCTTTGTTTGTTTATGCTTGAGACCATTAGTTATAGTATTTGCTACTGGAACTTTGAGTGTTTTTTTTACTATGCTTGTCATTTGTTTATTCAAATTCAGGATGCTTTATGGCCATGACTTTGTTGAATATTCGTTAATTCTTATAATTCTGACAAGTAAACAATGAGTTGTCAGGTTTTATTCATAATGTTTGTGGCCAAATCAGCAGTTACTCTAGTATTTTCGGATATTGCCGGCCAATACATTAAAGCATCATTCTAACTCCATTTCACTTATATGATACTATTTTGTTAAGACATGCTTGTTCATAATTGTGTCTTGAAAAGGCAAGTAATGACTTGTCTTTGTAAGAACATATAATTTCGATTATTAACTATTGCAGGTGTAGAGCATTTTTTTAAGTCATTTATGATTAATTGGGAGCCTATTGGTCTTGATTTTGATCATTACTGCTGCCATAAACCTTGCAAATTCACCTTTGACGAAGTTGCACCAATAACACGTGATGGAAAATGATCATTATGCGCATGGTGGGAAAACTTCTGATGAATCGGACGAGGAGGAGCTCCTTTTGACCTTCACTATGTTTTGTTCTTCTTGGATTGGCCTTATTCGACCCGTACCTACACCCTTTGCAGCGGCGACGAATCCAAAATGGTACACAGTCGGGTGCTCAATGGGTTCTAGAGCTAATAAACGGCCATCGAGACAGAATATTCGACAACCTTCGCATGGAAGCTCCCATTTTCCTGCAATTATGTGACTTATTGCTTGAGCGGGGCTATTGGGAGCCGCACCCTACACAACGGGTGGGAATTCATAAGTCTGTCGCCATTTGTCTTCTGTGCTTGAGTCATAATGAGCGACATAAGGTGCTAGCCGAGAGATTCCAACATTCTTCTGAGACAGTGGACCGCCATCTACGACGCTGCCTTCGATCTCTCGTTCGATTAGGACGCGACTTGATCAGACCAATAGATTATCACACAATTCATCCAAGAATACAGAACAATGCGCTATTCTAGCCATGATTTAAGGTTAAGGATTTAATGTTTAGTTAGTCATTATAAAAACCTGTTAAATATGTAACACTGGGCCATGTGATTAGGATTGCGTTATAACTATTGATGGAACACACGTTTCACTTTGGTGTAGAGCCGAAGATAGGGATCGTTATCGGAACAGGCATGGCGGCTTATCACAAAACATTCTAGCCGTGTGTGACCATAATATAAGATTCACTTATGTCAGGATAGGGTGGGAGAGTAGCACCCATGATTCTAAGATCTTACGAGATATTTTACTTAATCCTAATTGTGCCTTTCAAATACCACCAGCAGGTGCATGAAAATTAAATCAAAAAATGCCTTGCCTAATTGAGTTTTCTTATTGTTTAAATTTGAGTTGCCATAATGAACTTAACTATCTGTATATGATATGCAGGCAAGTATTATGCGGTGGACGCGGCATACACATGTAGAACTATTGAGGGGTGCACGACATACACAAATATGCCAAGATTTATTACTCCCTTTAGGAGTGCACGGGGAACCCCACAAGAGCGAGCAACAAAAGCACTTTTCAACAGACGCCATGCATCGTTAAGGGGAATTATAGAACGCATGTTTGGTGTCTTAAAAAAGTGATTTCCGATACTTAAGCCGCCCATGTAGACTATTTGATGGCAATGCAAAATAACATTGTCCTTGCTTGTTGTGCCTTGCACAACTTCATGCACAATCATGTTCCCAATGACGCATATTTTGTTGAAGAAGAAGTTGATGCAGCATTGGCAGATAATTTAGACCAGGACAACCAAATGGCCGGACCACAACCATTGGATATGTCGGCACAAGAAATTGCTAGCTGGAATGAAGATAGGAGAACAACAGTCGATCACATGTACTATCACCAATATCAGTAGAACATGGTAATGTCTCTCTCATGGGGCTTTCTAACTATAAGGCGGATTGTCAATACCTTTATAATAATTAATGTTTCCACGGACATATTATATCTGGCATGTAATCTTATGAAACCTATGTATCTTGCCTATTACTTTTAATTGTACCACTACAACGACATTAAGTATTTTAGAAAGTAGAGTCGAAGACAATGATCATTACCGGAACAGGCATGGCGGCTTATAACAAAACATTCTAGTCGTGTGTGATCATAATATAAGATTCACTTATGTCAGGGTAGGGTGGGAGGGGTAGCGCCCATGATTCTAAGATCTTACAAGATGTTTTACTTGATCCTAATTGTGCCTTTCCAATACCACCAACAGGTGTGTAAAAATTAAATAAAAAAATGCCTTGCCTAATTGAGTTTTCTTATTGTTTAAATTTGAGTTGCTATAATGAACTTAACTATCTATACATGATATGCAGGCAAGTATTATGCGATGGACGCGGCATACACAAATATGCCAGGATTTATTACTCCCTTTAGGGGTGCATGGGGAACCCCATAAGAGCGGGCAACAAAAGCACTTTTCAACAGACGCCATGCATCGTTAAGGGAAATTATAAAACGCACGTTTAGTGTCTTGAAAAAGTGATTTTCGATACTTAAGCAACCCATGTAAAACTATTTGATGGCAACGTAAAATAACATTGTCCTTGCTTTCATGCGCGATCATGTTACCAATGATGCATATTTTGTTGAAGAAGAAGCTGATGCAGCATTGATAGATAATTTAGACCAAGGCAACCAAATGACCGGACCACAACCACTGGATATGTCGGTACAAGGGATTGCTGGCTAGAATGAAGATAGGAGAACAATAACCAATCACATGTGCTATCACCAATATTAGTAGAACATGATGATCTCTCTCTCGTGGGACTTTCTAACTATAAGGTGGATTGTCAATGCCTTTGTAATAATTAATGGGAGTGTTTGGATACAAAACTTATCTTAAATAATATTTCGCTTACATCATAAACACATTTTTCAACCCACCTCTTTATATTCTCAATCACCTTTTTATCTCACATACATCACATCACATCACAAAAAGTACTACAGTAATTATTCCAAATAATATTTCAAATAATACCCTATCCAAACAAACCCAATGTTTCTATGGATATATTATATCTGGTATGTAGTCTTATGAAACTTGTGTATCTTGCCTATTGCTTTTAATTGTACCACTACAAACGGCATTAAGTATTTTAGGAAGGATATTTATTGTTTAAAAATTTAACTGCTGTTTTTCAAAAACAGTGAATCCAAACAGTTTGTTTTTCAAAAACAATCTGTTTGTGAACGACAGCAATCCAAACAACATTTACTGTTTTCCAAAAAAATTAACAGTAAATTTTTTTGAAAAACACCCCAATAAATAGCTAATCCAAACGGAGCCTATAGATCTCCCCTAGAAGTAAGTAGCTAGTATCAAATTCAATCCAATTCAAAAGGACAAATAATAGAGAATTGGGAGTTGGAGAGATAAAATAACCTAATACCACAAATGCCCTCAAGCCTGGCATTAGTGAGATAATTTCATACAAACATTACCTAGGCAATTTAACAAAAATGAAATTTTATAGGAGGATTCTGAGGCAGAAAATCAGCCAAATATAATCTGTCATACACAAACAACAACTATATCAACATAAGTTATCAAAGAATAAAAATTTTTCAATACAAATTCTTATAAACTAACCTGAAAATGTAAAGAACTTTTGAATCTTCTACAATAAAGGTGAGAATCTTCACATATGATTTAAAAACCTCTGCTTCTCTTACTCTAATTGAAGTGACTTCTTGTTCTTGCAGTTTTCTATGCCATACATCAACCAGAGCTGAATTTGGTGCCCTTTCTCTCATGACATTTTAGATATTATTTGCACTTCTAAATTATCATTAATTCAGTTAACCATATTTATAACTAATTTAAGTAAATTTGTCCAAATAATTGTTCAATATCTCATAAGTTGTGTGAGTATGCAAGTCATTTTGCCCATGATGATGTAAGAAGTGAGATCCAATATTTTATCAAGGGAGATTCCTGATATTTTGTAAACCTCAAGGGAAGAGAGTGAGACTGTCAGAAACCTCAGGAAGGTTTCTGAAAGAGCAAGGCAAGATTGGTTATCACTCATCAGTTGTGTAAATTAAGTGACATTTGAAATTTAAATTTGAATTCATATTCTGTCATATGATATAAATATATTAATATATAAAAATTTACAAATATACACTAGTATATTAAAAAAAAACTTACTTAAAAGTTAATCCATAAATAGTACAGCTCATATAAATGTCTTTGTTATTTCAAAAATCATATTTGTTCATTGAGTCTATAATAACAATTTCAAAAATAATTTCACAAACACACAATCTCAAATACAATTTATAATAATTTTAAAAAATTCTACCATATTTTCCTTTTTCATTCACTATCACTGTACACCATCACTCATCATCGCCGCAACCTCACCCGTCTCCCCCTTTATCACCACCGCACCCCCTCCTCTCTCCGTCCTTTTCCTTCTCCCTCTTTCTCCCTCTCCATCTTTTTGCTCCCCATTCCCCTCTTCTCCCCTTCGCTTCCCTTTCTCGCAACCTCTTTCCCCTAGTTTGGTCACAGGCTGTAAAGGGTAGGAAGGGGAAGAGGAGAGGAAAAGGAAGAGGGAATTAGAGGAATTAGACAAGATGATCCCTTATCACCGTATCTATTCATTATTTGTGCTCAAAGACTCTCTAGTCTAATTAACAAAGCAGTGGCAGTAAAGGAGCTCACATGCATCAAAATATGTAAGGACAGCCCAACCATTTCTCACCTATTTTTTGCAGATGATTCTTTACTCTGCTGCCAAGCAAACAAGCAAGAGGCAGGGAAGATCAAAATCATTCTTGAACGGTATGGCAATGCATCGGGACAGGTGGTTAACTTTGACAAATCAGCTATTTTCTACAGCAAAAATACTCCTGCCCGAAGAAAGAAAGAGGTGCAAGCCAAACTGGAAAATATGAAAGAGGCACGGAATGGCACATATTTGGGGCTCCCAATGGCAATTGGAAGATCAAAGACACAGGTTTTTAGTTTTGTGATGAACAAAATCAGTAACAAGCTTCAAGGCTGGAAACAAAAGCTGCTGAGTCAAGGGGGAAAGGAAATACTCATCAAAGCAGTCATTATGGCGATGCCAACATATGTGATGGCTTGTTTTAGAATCCCTCGAGGCTTATATAGACAAATCACAGCTAAGATTGCAAGGTTCTGGTGGGGCAAAGGAGAACAAGAAACCTGTGTACATTGAGCAAGCTGGAAGAAGCTGTCGGAAGTGAAGGGAAGAGGGGGAATAGGTTTTAGTGATTTAGAATATTTCAACACAGCTTTGCTTACAAAGCAAATTTGGGGATTTCTAACAACTCCAAATTTGCTAGTAAGCAAGGTAATGAAGGCAAAATATATGAAAGATCCAAATTGGATGGAAAAGACTCCACCCAATTTAGCCTCCTGGTGTTGGAAGAGCTTACACAGTGCAAAATCTCTTTTGCTAGCTGGCTTGTGGAAAAGAATAGGGGACGGCAGATCGGTGAGCATATGGAATGACAGATGGATAACTGGAACTGAAAAAGGCATGGTATCTAGCACAAGACCTGAGGAGTGCACGTTAGAGTGGGTAAATGAATTGTTAGTAGATGGAAAATGGAAATCTGACCAACTCTAGAAATGGTTCAGTAAAAGGATGCTGAACTAATAAAGAACATCCCAACCAGCATTGGAAGAAGAAAAGATAAACTGGTCTGGGGATACTCAAAATCTGGACAATACACTGTAAAGACATGATATGCAGTAGCAAGACAGCTTGATTCAAAACTCAGGGAACCGAGAGGACAAGATGCTGAAACAAGTCGGGAAATAAGAAAGCACAATGTATGGAAGAAACTTTGGCATATGAATGTGAAGGCAAAGCTCAAGCACTTTATATGGAAATGTTTACAGCAGTGCTTACCCGTCAATGAGATACTGTCAAAACGGCTAAGAAAGGGAGAAGGAAGATGTGGCTACTGTGGAGAAGCTGAGGAAATGATGGAACATTTGTTCTTCGAATGTGAAAATGCAACGCAGGTATGGAAAATGGCTCCAGTCAGATGGGAGGGGTTGCAAGACAAGGAACATAATCTATGGCTGTGGTGGGAACAAGTGACTCAAGCATTAAAAATGGAACAAGGACAGAACAGAGTCAACCTTACCATAAACATTTTGTGGCAAATCTGGAAATCCAGAAATAAAAAAGTTTTTGAAGGTGCAAATCAGAATCCTCTCAAAACTATACGGAAAGCACAAGCTGAGTGGCTAGAGTTTGAGCAAGAGAGGGAGACACAAAGGAAGTGGAACGTGAGACGGACAAGTTGCGAACCCAAGCAAAGAAGGGAGAAGCCAAGGGAGGGAGTGATAAGGATGTACACGGATGCGGCCATATCAGCCAAAGGGATCAGGACCGGGCAAGGAATAATAGCAAGAAACTGGAAAGGAATACTATTGAAAGCTAAAGGTGTAGTCACACAGGGAAGGGGAATAGCAAGCAAAGAAGAAGCACTTGCCATACGGAACGCATTACTGATGGCTAAACAACAGGGATGGACACAAATTATAGTCCCATTAGATTGCAAATCAGTAGTTGAGCAAATTAACAGGAGCAGGGAGTATGATTTCACCATTGCAACAATTTTAGAAGATGTACAGGACCTAAGCACAGGTTTCGAGAGATGCTCTTTTGTTTTTATTCCTAGAACAGAAAATGTAATCAGCCATGTATTAGCACGTTTTGCAGTAAAGCTAGTACATGATATTGAGTGGGAAAATGATTTCCCAATCTGGCTGGTTTATTTAGTCAAGAAGGACTGCAGGGTAGTACCCCCTTTTTTGTAAGTAATACTTGTAAAATCAAGTGTTTTTAACAATATATAAAATGTTACCGTTTGTTGGAAAAAATTAGAGGAATAGAGAGGAGATACGGGGAAGGAGGGGGAGCAGAAAGAAGGAGGGAGGAAGAAAAGAGATGGTGGTGGTGACAGTGGCACTAGGTGGTTGGTGGTGTTATTTTCAATTTTAAAGAAAAAAACTCCAAAAAATTTTCAATTCTAAAAATGCCTTAAAATACATCCCTAAAAACACGTATAAAAATTCAAAAATACCTAACTATCTATAGTAAAAATTTTTCACATACATTGCTATAGTACAATTTTTTTAAAAACACTCTCAAAAATACCTAATTCATACGAAGTCTAAGTTTTTAACTCTGAGCAAATGGAAAAAAAATGTCACCAAACTATTACCGTTTACATGTTTAATGTCACTAAACTTTTTTGTTGCCCAAAAATGTCATTGAATTATTAAATTTTACTCTTTTCTACCATTTCGTCTAATTTTGGTATTAAGGTAGATGGAAGGCTCAGCAACCAAGCTAGATGCCTTATTTTTTAAGGGGTAAATTGGTCTCATCACCTTTGGCACAATATGAAAAGGAAGAAGGGTAAAGCCGCAGGTATTCATATCATGTGAAATTCTTCCCCAAAGATTTGAAGATTTGCCATGGCAAGACACAACAGGCCTCCTCCGATCTACAAATGTGGCACAATAACCATCTTGAGGACATGATGGACTGATAGGAACCTAGCATGGAGGTATGTTGAGTGTGCTCATGATGAGTTAAGTGTATGAAAATCTATGAAATTAGTTAGATCTACTAGAAGATGAAGTTAAAAAACCTTTTTTTGTTGCAGATTGGATAATATGGATACTGGGATTGATACGATGATAAAGTATGTAAACGTACCAAGCAAGTAATACCTGGCATTTTAGGAAAAGCGAATAGCTTAGAAAATGAGAATGAAATATTGAGAGAAAAAGCTCTAAAGATGCAAAAAAGATAGAAAAAATGGAGGTTGAAGTCAAAAAATTGAAGCAACAACTAGGGACATATAACCTGATGAAAAAAGGCATAATTGTTGTGCTGGTGATTTGGACACTTGTGAATTTTGTAATGTAGATGTGGAGGCCTAGAAAGGACATTTTTCTAAAAAATTACAAATTGATGAATCCTAAAATGTCGCTTGATATTGCTGGAAAAGTGAGACAATAAGTAGTTTTAGTTTTAATCTTATTCTAAATTGTTGTATCATCTTTTGTCTGTTGTACTGTGATTGTTTTTTAAGTAACTTTGGTTGTATAAATCTTGCAAAATGTCCAGAGTATTAGTAAATGTTCACTATTTTTCAGCAATTTCAATTTGCAAGTCAAATTTCCAAATGTTTCAATGGCAAAACAAAATAGGATACATTGAACTAAGAAACATGTCCATTGGCTACAAAACAGGATAATGTGGTTCTTAACTTATGCCACAACGAACTTACAAAAGACTATGTGTCATATTTAACACCCCTACCAAAAAAATACCAGTTCGCATGAAGCTACCAATCCCTAAATAAATACACATAAACAACATAAGACAACAACAAATTTGGTTATTCTGTTCCAACCCATAAACTTTTCAGATACATAAGACCGAAACATAAGACATATAAACTTTTCTAATAGGCTATTTTTACGTAGCAGCAGTTGTTTCAGGCACAAGAGTTTCAAACAAATCTAATCTCACACTTTCAACATATGAAGCACCCCTCCCCCCTCCCCCAATTCTTCTTATTGTTAGTTTGATGGTCCCTTCGAGTGTGCATTAGAATGAGGCTACACAAAAAATTTTGATTCTGCAGTAGCTTGATCTCTATTGATATTGCCAGCACCCTCTACATCATTGACCATCTCTCCAGATCTGCTGCATGTTGTCCTCTTTGATGCAGTAATTGATTGAGTTGATATCTTAGTCCCTTTGGCTGGTCTCCTAGTTCCTGAAATGCACCTTCTAGATTCTTTAATAGGTTTAGCAAAATTTTTTCAGCATCTATAGTAGTAGCTGCACATTGGTTCGAGTCTTCTAGGGGTGTGCATCGAATTCGAAATCGGTAATTCAGAAGTTTGAATTCGGAATTTTTTGAAATTTTGGTATCTGATAATTCAACCGAATTCGATTTCGAATTTACCAATTCCGAATTCAAATTCGTACCGAATTCAATTTGAAATTCGGTAAATTCCGATTTCACCGAATTCGGAAAAAATTATATATTATTATATAATATAAAATTTATAATATAATATTATATTATATAAAATTTATAATATTATATTATATTATATTATATAAATTTTATATAATATTATATAATATAAATTTTATATTACATGTATAAAAAATATATTTATATATTAAAAACAAATTTGAAATCGAAATCGAAATTCAAATTCCGATTTCGAATTGTGAATTCGAAATCGAAAATTTCGATTTGAAAAACTCCATTACCGAATTCAAACAAAATTCGAAATATATGAATTTGGAACACCCGAATTTGATTCCGATTTTCGATTTACAGATTTCGAAAATTCCCGATAAATAGAAATTTTTCGATTTTGCACACTCTTAAAGTCTCATTTCAGCTGCCCTTGTCTCCTTGCATGTGGTCCTATTGTGCCCCGGCTGATCACATTTGATACAATACATGATCGCATGTTTTTTCAACATATGAATAGTGTTCTTGCCATTATGAGTACCAATGTCTTTCTCAGTGCTATCCTTTTCTTAGCTATCGTGGATCTACCAAACTGTACACATGGTATAGGAAGGTCCAAAATAGGCTTATCAATGGTTGGCAACAAAGCCTTTCCACTGATAGGAAAAAGAACATTTTTAGTAAATTTGTAAGAATAAATTCTTACTATAATTCTCATGAGTATATTTCTGTGGATCCTTACTAGTTTTGAAAATAGTAAAAATTGCATGATAGCAAGGCAACCTACTGATATGTCATAAATTGCATGTGCAGATCCTTTTTTCTAAGTAAACGATATATTTTTCCCTCCGTGGTTCCTTAACTTGATAACCCCCTTGGCCATTAGTTGTTGGCCTCCACTTCCTAGAGTGGATTTCCCTTTCAACTAGCAATTCTTGTATTCCTAGTCTTACTGTTCCCAATACATTTCTTCATCTAAGCAGCCCTATTTGATATCTTTCCCATTAAATACTCCCTAATCCCCTCAACTATTCCAATTATAGGCATATCTCTTGCACTTAAAATGTGTGAATTAAATGTTTCAGATAAATTGTTGACAAACATATCAGATTTTACATGGTGGGAGAAGAAAGTCTTACACCAGTGTTGAGGGGGTGTTGTTTTCTTTATCCAAGTATGTGCAAGATGAACATATTGTCCCATTCTTCCATTTGTAACTCGTATTGCTCAACAGTACTTGTTGTTGCAAAACATATGGCAAAAACTCTAATAGTGCACTGTCAAGACTCTATTAATAAATAAATATTAGAATGTTAGTAATGGGCAGGTAATGCATAAAGTAATAAGAAACTGAGTTCACTTGACCTTTTGTTGGTCTAATGTGAAAGTGATTTTCCTATTAGCAGCTGCTAATTCTAGATTCGCAATCAATGCTATTGCTCTCTTGCCTCCTTTTCAACCACTCCCCAAACTAGTGGCTACCACCAATTATTGGAATCTACCCCAATAACAGTCAATAATTGACCAGGGTATTGTTCCTTTGTGTGACATCCATCAAGTGCACCTATGGATCTACAACCCTCCCTAAAGTTTTTTTTTTTTAATGGTTCAAAACAACAATAGAATCTCATGAACTTTGGAACACTATTAGGAGTACACAATATTAGTGGTGGTATCCGGATGAGTTTTTTTTAAACTCTTCAGCATACTCCCAAATATATACATATTGCTCACTTGTAGACTCCTTTATCATCTTTCGGGTTAAGGTCCAACCTTTGTAAGTCTTGCTTATTGTAATCTCACACTTGTACTACTTATTAATATTCTGTATAAGCTTCTTCATAACTTTTAGCAACCCATGAAATACTCATGTTCTTATTTCTCTAGGCATGATTGCAATCATTGTGCTTTTCATTCAAACTCTTTAAAACGAAATCATTTGTCCCAAAAGCTAGTACCTTGGATGCATACACAAATCATTTGCAAGAATCTCTACGTTTTGCTCTCATTCTTGTCTTATCACTATCATATAAATACACAGGTCTTCATGTCATTATTAAGTAGTTTTTGATAGCTTGTTTAAATTCTTTTTTCGTTCTAAACTTTTGCCCAACAAAAAACTTTGGACATCTCATATCCTTTGCTGCATTGAAGACTGTGTATGTCATTGAATCATGTTTATCCGATTAGTTTGGATCACTGTTAAGTCCCACATATATGCTATCATCCAGTAATGGATTGTGATCACCTTCAGTTTCAACTCCACCAGTAGGCTCACAAGCCTAACTTTTTCTTCTTGTTGCTTTCCTTTTGCTATTTTTGGAGGGTTCAGCTTCTCCTGCCTCAGGTTGTGCTCCATCATTTACATGTTCACCTATTAGAGTTGGCTCGTCATTAACTTGGCTCTCCAAATTTTTACTATTTTCAGTTTGGGTCTCCAAATTGGGTTAAGACTCATGTTGCATCATGCTCTCATCTCTACAATACTCTGAATAGGCATCAAAATTCCTATGATGATCAGAGCATGAATCATCAATATCGTGATTTTCTTGCCATTTTTCCGCTTCACCATTACCTTCACACTAGATATTTTGTGAATGATTATCACCTCCATCAATACAATCCTGCTTCCATCCCAAAGCAGCAATTGGTTCAGCACAAAATGTAGTGCTAAAAGCATCCTGTCTATTGCCTCTTTCTCTAATAAGATAGGGCATCTTTTGTTTTATTGTAACTATTTGAACATCATCCTTGATCTCCTCTATTACAATAGATGACTTATTGTTTAGGGTTTTCTCCTCCAAC